AGTAACCCCAGCACGGAGGCTGGCAGAGCCAGGGGGCGGGCAGAACCAGGAGGCTGGCTGAGCCAGGGGGTGGGCAGAGCCAGGAGGTGGGCAGAGCCAGGGGGCGGGCAGAGCCAGGGAGCAGGCAGAACCAGGGGCGGGCAGAGCCAGGGGGTGGGCAGAGCCAGGGGGCGGGCAGAACCAGGGGGCGGGCAGAGCCAGGGGCGGGCAGAGCCAGAGGGTGGGCTGAGACAGGAGGCTGTCTGGGTTTGCTGACTTTCAACCTAGTGGAAAAGTCCCCAACAGACAGAATAAAACAAGACTTCAAGTTCATTGAGAGACTCTGCCTTTGTGTCGTCCCCCCCCCCCAAAAAAAGCAAGGCAGAAAAGGATGCTTCCCTGAACATGGATGTGTGCTCTCACTCTTTCTCTTGCACACACACACACAAAAATATGCCGGAAGGAGAAATGGAGTCCTACCACGTTGGGTCCTATGTTCTCAGGTGCTTTTTTGTTTCCTTAAAGCACAGTGAGATGCCAGCCTTTCCTGCATATTCAGTCCATTTAGCTTTGGACACTGATGGTTCCTCCAAAGTTTAAACCCCCGCTAAGCCTCAGGGACGGAGCTAAATTCACATTTGCCTTACTACACACTTTCTTCCCGCTGTACCACACGGTGCCGTTGATAACTGTGGTCTCTACTGAGGTGAAGAAACTGCTAAGGAGGGAGCATGGGGAGGATGAGAGCTCCGGCTCGTGATCCACTATGGCTTCCCAGTCCCACGCTCTCAGAGCCTCTCCAACCTGATGTAGTAATGGGAGCCTGAAGTGAGGGAAGGGGAGGCTAAGAGTCAACTGAGCACTGTGACCTCCTCAGGAGGCATTTGGAACTTGAGTAGCATGGGCTAAAGGCCATTTGGTAAGGATATGGGGCCTGGAGAGGGTGGGTCATACTCTGGGGTGGGTGGCTTGGATAATTTTTGAGGTTCTCTGCAGCTCTGTGCACCTTGGACTTCTTTGTTTATGATAATGTATCCATGGGTGCAATACACTCACTTAGATACGTTTTCAAAGCTTTTCTGTCTCTAATAAATTTAGGATGGCATTAGAAAATAAATAAGAAGACACCCCTGACACAGGAAATGCCTTGGTGAGTCAATGCCACTGTCTTAGTCACGGTTTCTATTGCTGCAGTAAGACACCATGACCAAAAAGGGAGTTGGGTTTATTTGGCTTACACTTCCACAGCACGGTTCATAACTGAAGGACATCAGGACAGGAACTCAAACAGGGCAGGAACCTGGAGACAGGAGATGATGCAGAGGCCATGGAGGGGTGCTGCTTACTGGCTTGCTCATCATGGCTTGCTCAGCCTGCTGTCTTATAGAACCCAAGACCACCAGCCCAGGGGTGGCCCCACCCACAATGGGCTCTCCCATCAATCACTAATTAAGAAAATGCCATACAGCTGGACCTTATGGAGGCATTTCCTCAACTGAGGTTCCCTGCTTTCAGATAACTCTAGTTTGTGTCAGATAGACATAGACTAGCAAGCACAGTTTCTAACGATGTAATTATGATCTCCTAGGAGTGGCATCTAGTCACTGCTCCAAGTCATGAGCTGGCCAAGAGTGACCACTTTAATATCCTCTGGCTGGGTCTAAGGTCATTTAAGAAATTCAACCAAGTGTGGTAGAACACACTGATAATCCCAATATTTGGGAGCCTGAGGCAGGAGAAACGGACATTTGAGGCCAATTTGGGCCTCATAGTGAGACCCTGTTTCAAAACACACACACACATACACACATCACACCACACATGAATTTAGGTGACATGGTTTTATGATCCTCTTTTTAGGTGATTGAGGAAGAGTTGTGTGTGTGTGTGTGTGTATGTGTGTGTGTGTGTGTGTGTGAATATATATATATATATATATATATATATATATATATATATATATATATGTATATAATGAAATGACTGTATGGGTTTCTTTTGCTTATGCCCACTGTAGTCTTAGCTATATGCTCCTTTTCCTGAAGATAAGGGAGCTAGCAACTGAACCTATAGCTTTGCTCTTGCTGGCCAAGGCCTCTATTGGTGAGCTCTGTTGTTAGCCTTCCCGGTTGTACCCTCTGCAACAGACTGTGCCCATTCTGTCCTTTAGGAATTGTCTAGTCTGGTGGAAAGTTCCTCCTGGCAGCAGGGCATCTGAAAGGCAGAACAGTTGACCTGGGAAAACTGAGCCAGCCAGGTGCACGCCCATGGTATTTGGAGGAATTATGTATCCATGGAGAGGAAGGACCCCCAGGGACCCAGCAGGACAGCTGCGGGTATCCTGGGGAGCTGAGGGAAGATGTCTAACCAGGCATAAGATGCAGTGAGGTCCCTGTGTGGCCTGCTGTCCTCTCTGGCTCAGCAAGCTCTGGCCAGGCCTCATTCATATACTCTCTGCCGTATGTGCATGTATTTCTAGTTGTCATCCCGATAAGAGCTGAGTGCCCATTACCCCTCCTGCCCAGGTTCTGAGAGCAGAGGCATCACTTTCTCGCGCGCGCATCTCTTTCGCCATCCTGACTCTTATCCTCCTGGTGGCATCCATTATGTATTGTGCTTGTGCATTAGGCGCAGGACATTGCCTGCATTGTCTGACTTAATCCTTATCACAAGCTACAAAGTAAAAGCTACCAGTATCTCTATTTAGGGTTCAGGTGCAGCAGATACATTCCCAAGGTCATAGAATGACTAAGTAATCAGCCCCTCCCTTCTGGTTCTAGAAGCCATGCACTGTAGCTTGTAAGTTTGTGGGTACGGGGGAGTGAGGATGGGGGGGGGGGAGAGAGAGAGAGCGCAATTTGTTTGTTTGCTTTAGGATATTATGAGGATTCTCTGGATCTATCACTAAGTGCGCCAGGCAGCCAGCAGCAGCATATGGAGGCAACAGTCTTCCTTCTCGCTGGTAAATGAAGGAAGCAAGTCAGTAGTGAGTATTTAGTTTCTGCTATTGAATAGGCCATTCTTGGATAACAGTACCTCTGGAAAGGCAAGCCTGTGAAATTTAATAAAATATCAGGTCACTGGAGAAGTCTGTCTCAGTCCCGGCCTTCTTGCCCTTCTGTGACAAACTGTAATGGAAGAGAATGGAAAGATAATACCTAGTGTGGTCTCTGTGGTCCGTACTTCAGGTAGTCGTTCCCTTATCCCCGGGAAGTCACTTGTACCCTATGTGATCAGAGCCTACTAGATATTTGTCATACCTGTTCCTGTGTTATTTTAAATCTCTGTGTGTGTGCTGTGCACACACATGTGCGTATATGCGTGTGTGTGTACATGTCTGTGTAAGTGTGCATGTTTGTGTGTATTAATTTGTTCATGTGCATGCATGCCCCAGCTCCCACTTAGGGTGTGTGTGTGTGTGTGTGTGTGTGTGCAAGTGTGTGTTTATGCATGTGTGTGTATGACAACCTTTGGTGTTGGTCCTCACCTCTACTGTTCAAGACAGGCTCTCTTTGTTGTCTCCGGCTGTGTATGCCAGTCTGTCTGACTTCTGGGGTTACTCCTATTCCCAGCTCCTTCTCACTGTTGGATTGCAGAGTGCAGTGCTGCACGCAGCTCTTCAGGAGCTCTGGGGACTCGAACTCAGGCCCTCGTGTTTGCACGGCCATCCCCATGGCTCCCAGCTTGTTTTGAGAGCTCCAGTTTGGGCATTTAAGTGATTACTGGTTCTAGGGTCTCGCTGAACTTGAAAGCTCCCAAAGTGAGCAGAGTGGCTGAATGCCAAAATTAGAAGTGGGGGGATTCCAGGGCAGCCAGAAGAAACTAGGAAGAAATAGGGGTGACACCTCATTTTAAAATTGTTTTGACCTCGCAGAAAATCTGCAAGAGTAGAACAAAGAAACCCTAAACTCCGCCCAGATTGTTCATCCTTTCTTTTCTCTTCTCTTCTCTTCTTTTCTTTTCTGCAGTTTTCTACAGTTATTTATCCCCAGCTCTTTCTACACACACGATTTTATTTTGCTGAAATTTTTGAGACTAGGATTCCTGAATCATTATGCTGTTCTTTGAGGCTTTATACATTCTATATCGGGCACAATGCAGTTTTCTAACTCAGGGCATGACACTGGGAAATGGCACTTTGGTCTCCCATTCACGGTGTCAACTTCTGAAAAATGTCTTTTTTGTTGTTCTCCCATGGGGCACAGGATCCTGCCCGTGCGCACACATTGTGCTTCGTTGTCCTGATTCTTCAGCACAATATATATATATATATTTTGTATAAAGTCACTACCTCGATGCCTTTGTAGGGTTCAAACTAGTTTTTAGAAACAGAATGTTCAGCTGCCTATGGTTCCCTCATGGTCAAACCCAGATTACCCATCCCTGACTGGCCTTCAGCATAGTGTGATTTTCCCAAGGCATTGTAGACAGAGGTACCCAACATTTGCCTGGCTCTTACAGGTAGCTGATTCTAGCCACCTGGTTGAGTTATAGACTCGTTTTTTTCTGATATAGTGATAGCACATTTCCCTTATAGCCAGTGAGCCTTGCTCCTCACTATTTCTAGCCTTTAAGGGCGTGAAACTGAATGCTGGTGGCTTTAAACCTCTAGGTCATAAAATCATGGAGTGCCTTAGCAGGCACAGGCCTGGGGATTGACAAGTGTATATAATTGTTAATGGATTATATTTTTCCTAGTACTTTTTAGTACACAGCAAAACTGAGTCACCCAGTATCCCCATGTGTTCCTTGCCTCCTCCATAGGCCCCTCCCACTCTCAGCATCCCACACAGGATTAGGGAAGGTTGATGCAGAAGAACCTGTATTGGTACATGTTGTCACTGGACCCCGTCATATCCATTAGGTTCATTCCCACACATTCAATGTGTTTTTCAAAACCCATGTAGAATGTGTATTTACCGAACTTTGCTAAAATCTTGTGTAAGAAGTACACTCTTCTGCATTTTGTTTTTAATTATGCCTCTTCCTTGTTCCTTCTTGTAATGATTATATCTTTATAGTTTACTTCGCTTTAAGGTCAGCATTTAATAGCATATCGGCGGAGAGAGAGAAGCTGAAGCAGGTGGAGCTGGACGCCTCCTCCTCGCCCTCCGCTCAGGTCGTCGGGCTGAAGCACGCGCTGTCATCCGTAAGTGGTGTGTGTGTCTCTGTTTCGTAGACACCTGCAAGTGTGCCCAGGCTTGCAACTTACGTATGCTTTCTGTTTCCGTGGGTGCAATGAAAATTGAGGATTTCTCAGGGTCTAGTTGGATCTCAGGGAGAAAACCAAACAAATGGCCCAAGTTACATCCAAGCCTTTCTTTCTTCAGGCTTAAGTTTTCAAAATAATCCCAAACCATAGCAGCTAGGATTTTCCTAAATGTTGGATTCTCTAACTTTGGTTTCTTCCAATTTACCTGAAATTTTCTGTTCCTGTCGAACTTTTAGTGTGTTTCTGTGTGGAAGTCTTGCAGACATTTGTTGGTTAATGCTTACAAAGTTTGACATTTGGGAGGTTTTGTGGCTCTGAGGCATTGCAAGTTTAGATCGACTTAACAAATAACTCGTGGCAGTGAGAAATTTCCAATTCACACGTTTCCCATCTCCACTGCAAAGTGCTGATCCTACTTAATGCTCTTCCAAATATATGAGTGATATTTGATATGAGTAAATAGACAAAACCTTCCGCTTTTCCTCTCGTGGACACAGCGCTGAGTCAGTCATACGAAGTGACTGTCAGGCAGTCACTGCAGCTTCAAACAGAACAGCCCCTGTCACAGCCTCAGATGGGTTTCCACAAGCCGTTGTCACTCTATTTTCTCAGCTTCACTTGGCTGCTCAGAATGGCTGGGCTCCGCTGATACCATGCTGTGTCCTGTGCCACCACAGCAGCTGAAGGTGTCTGGTGACACCTTAGCCCTGCTCTCTATCCAGAAGCCAGAGAACCTTTGCAACCGCACACGTATTTGCTCTTTTCTCTTTACTTGCGCTTTGGAATTCCTGCTCTAACAAGAGAAAGAATGTGTGCACATGTGGAATTACTGTCTGAAGCGCCACTGACTTGTATTTTGGGTCAGGTGGGAGGGATGAATTTTTGGATCATGTGACCAGAAGCCAACATAAGCACTGAGGGGGGAAAAGGTCCATTTCTGGTTTCTATTTGTCATGCTACTGAGGATAATAATGCTACAATGTACTGTTAATTAATTAGGCTACAACACAATGTTAATCATGGACCCTTGATGAGCAGCACACAGTGCTTGCTGCAGACACTCAGATACTTTCATTCGGTGGCAATTCCGACAATACTAGCTTTGGTTTATTTTGTCTTGTTTTTTAAAGACAGGATCTCATATAGCCCAGTTAGGCCTCATGTAATCATGTAGTCCTGTCTCCATCTCCCATGTGTTTTAAATTATAGTCATGTGCCCAACTATGCTATTTTTGACAGAAACATTTTTAAATAATATTGGCCCATATATAGAGTCTCCATCTTTAAATTCTATCTATCTCTCTATCATCTATCTATCTATCTATCTATCTATCTATCTATCTATCTACCTACCTACCTACCTACCTATCATCTATTGGTTTTTCGGGACGGGGTTTCTCTGTGTATCAGCCTTGGCTGTCAGAGGGACTCTAAGTGCTTTTAGAAGGTTCCTCTGATGCGGGGGTCCCTAAAGTCCTTGCCATGGTCCTCCTTCCCCTTCCCCTTCTCACAGAGGTTCAGCCTCCTTGCTAATCTGCTTGACTATACTTACTAGGCTATGGTTTCCAGGCCAGATACATGTCACTTTTTCTAAGGGATGTGCCTACACCCACATCAACAGTCTAGAAAGAAGATAAAACACAATGGTTCTTTCTTTCCTTTTTGGTTTAGATTTCTGATTTAGACTTGTTTCTTCAAAATATTTAAAATAATAATATAATATAATAATTGTCACAATTCTAGGCTTTGCTAAGATTCTAGCCCCTGTAACAGTGACATGTTGCCTCAAAGGGATTATTATATGTGGGTACATGACCCTAGTTCTTGTTCAGAGTTTCTTAAAGGATTCAAGGGTTCTTAGAATAACCTATGTCCTCTAAAAAGTAAAACTAGAGCCAGACGTGGCGATCTTGTAGTCCTAGCTCCTGGGAGGCCGAGGCGAGTGTTCAGAGTCCAGCCTGGGCTACGGAGTGAGACTATATCCAAACATTTAACAATGATAAGAAAGGAGATAAACAAGGCCACTGTGGAGATCCAGGCGGCGGACAAGGTGGTCGGCAGAGTGTGTTCCTCCTATAGTCACAGTGCAGTGGTGCCAAGCGAAGGAAGTGCACAGCTTCCTTTTTCCCGTGAGCCAGGACCTGCCAGAGAGGTTGGTATAGGAGGTGGCACAGCTCCTGAGGAAATAGAGGTCTCGCTTTATGTCCATGACTCACATCCAGCACCATGGTCCATAAGCCTGACGGTGCATAGGTAAAGCTGCTTGCTTAGTTTTTGAAAAGTGAACTGTCTTATTCCCCCAAAATGAATAAGTCACCAGCATACTTCTGAGGTCTAGTGCAGCTGGCGTGATAATTAAATCACACTGGGTCATGCTCATCAAGGACAGGAGGAGCTAGGAATCACGAGTTTTGGTGGCGTTGCAGGGGTCTGGTCCACAGATCGGCATGGCAGGAACAAGAGTTACTATCTGTGGGTCACCAGTTTTAGAAACTGATGTTGTCTATGGCTTCTTTGTGCAGCCTTACTAACCCTCTTTCGCCTCTAGAAATGGAGGTTAACAAGGGGTACCCTGGACCTATTTGTTACCTCCCAGCCTCCTGCTGAAGAACAAAAGGAAAGCCCATCCAGACACACCCTGAGGTGTCCAACTCTGGGCATCGTCGCTCCTAGCCTTGCTTGCGCCCAGTCCCCTGCTGCGTTTTCCTGAACTGTCCATTTACTAATAAAGCCCTGCTATTCTTAACATATTCCAGGCCCTAGCACAAAACACAGACCTTAAAGAACGCTTACGCAGAATCCATGCGGAAAGTATGGTCCTCGACCCTCCTGCTGTTCCCAAGTCGGGGGACAACCTGGCAGAGGTGGGTAGGTTTCTGTCTGGTAACTGTTCTCGGCACCTGCTGCCCGCCCACCCTCAGCGTTCTCTGTCCAGTTGCATAGCCCCCTGCTTCACCCCCTGGAGTGGCGACCATGCTGCTAGCCTCCGCTGGCCACTGCCACAGCCCAGCTCCGGCTGAGCTCTTGGGATTCAAAGCCTTGCTGGCAGAATGCCACTCAACACACCCTTCAGCTGCCTCTCTACCCCTCCTTTGTGTCTCTCTACCTCGTTTTCTCTAAGTGGCATTCTTTCTACTATGTGTTACCTGAGTGTGGGCTGTAGAAAGACAAGTGGTTTCCCTTGTCATTTCTGGAGAAACCTCAGCTTCCGTGACGTGGTGTCTGTGCCTTGCCGGCTTCTTGTGTTCCGCGGAAGCCATGCTTGTCTTACCACCATTCTCCCTTCTTCTCCCTGTTTGGTTCTTTCCTCTGTCAGAACACAGCTCCATACTCCTAGGGGAAGAGGTGCTGCACTACAGTCAGAATCCATTGTCGGCGAGCACACATTAGAAAGGCCTTTTACTGAGACACAATACAGTTTAGCAACTTAGTGGTCATTTACTCTTGGACCCTAGTGCAACCCGCAGACCCCCGATACACACACACACACACACACACACACACACACACACACACACGCACTGAGGTCTTTGCTCAGGCCTTGGGACTTTTGCCCCAAATGGTCCTTTGAATGCATTTAAAATGAGCAAGATACATGTGTCAGAAAAACATAGTGAGATCCTTGAAGATTAAGGATGGGTAGTACAGGCGACAACTGTTTATATGCATCTCTGGTATTCGGATGTCTACCCCAGATGTGTAAAATTCTCCACTAATAAACCAGTTAGATTTAAGATGAAAAGTAGGGAAGCGGGCTGGGGAGGCCATGCCGTCAATACAACGCCAAGGACCCCCAAGAACCCACATTAATAAATATAGGTGTAATGGAACATTCTTGTGATCCTAGGACAGGGAGGCAGGGACAGCTGCATGGCTGAGGCTCTCTGCCAGCCAGTGTGGTGAGGATCAGGCCAGTAAAGGTGGGCACAGGGCCAGTGCAATGGCTCAGGGAGTGAAGGCTCTTTCCTCAAAGCCTGGAACCCCAAGTTGGATCCCTGGTCCTCTGATCTCCTCATATATAGAGCTTACAAAAGAAGAAAAAGGTGGACAGGGCCTGAGGCACAAGGAACGACACCCACAATTGTCTCCCACCCCCACATACACATAAGTGAATACACACTTCCTCTCACACAACGTTTACCCACACATTCATACACATGGGGCAGCAACAAAGGGCTGGTGTTTACATCTGTAAATGCTCCATTGTTATCATCTTTGTCTCCTTAAGAAAACCCACACACCGTCCTTTCTCTGTGTGAGCTGAGGAGGAAGAAAGTTGAGGCCCAAACACCCAGGTCATTTGCCCTCTTTGTAGCAAAGACATGCAGACAGGACCACCGCACCAGGCCAGAGCCATACCCTCATGGTGGTAGCTGAGGACAAAATTCCTCTGCAGGGACACTACTCCAAGAGACCAACCCTGCACCCTAAGCCAAGGGCCTCGGCACTTTACGCCTGAGCCTATTCACCAGCCAAGACTTTTCAAGTGAGCACATTAGTTAACACAGTGCCCAGTCTTTGCCATGTCTGACCATCACTGAGTATGGTTTGTTGCCAGGCACCATGACATCTCCAATGGCACATTGATTTCCAAGCCACTCTTACCTTTTGTTTTTGTTTCTGTTTTTTGTTTTTTTAAGACAGGGTTTCTCTGTGTAGCTTTGGAGCCTGTCCTGGAACTAGCTCTGTAGACCAGGCTGGCCTCGAACTCACAGAGATCCACCTGCCTCTGCCTCCCAAATGCTGAGATTAAAGGTGCACGCCACCAGTAACCTACTGCCCTTACTTTTATAATACATATTATTTATTTACATGTTTTGTGATGAACTAGATAACCTTTGCTAAGCATTTATGAGCCCGTATCTAGTGTGCAAGACTCAAGCTGCTGGTGTTTTGAGAAAAAAACCCCAAAGCCCAGGTCTAGAAAAAATGTACATTTTGGGACCAGTTGCAAAAAGGGATAGCCAGAAAGCTGAACTGCTCTGAACTGTTCAGGACGGTGCCACCACATCCTTGAGCGCGCCCTTCCATGGTGTTCTCCAGTTGGTTACGTCTTTGTCTCATTTATTTCCTCTTTCAGAGAGTTTCTATTTCCCCTGGTTTATCCTTTTTTTTTACCCCCATGGAGTGACTCAAGGCTAACTTTCCCAGCAAAGAAAAGCCATTGTTACCTTCAGGAAATATGAGCAAGAAATAAGAATGACCACATAGACAGAAAAAAAAAACACCCTAAGGTGTGTGTGTGTGTGTGTGTGTGTGTGTGTGGTGTGTGTTAACTTTAAATTTTTAGTTACTTAAAAAGTTTAAAAACATTTGTTTATTTAGTGTGTATGTGTGTGTGCACACACGCACATAAAGACATGAACCACGGGGTATATGTGGGGTCATAGAGCAACCTGGAAAGGTCTGTTCTCTCCTTCGACTCTGTGGGTTCTGGGGATGGAATCTCGGTCGTGGGGCTTGATGGCAGGTGCCTAATAGGCTAAGCCATCTCACCTGCCCCCGGGTTACCTTTTTTAGGAGATTCCCTCAGACACCTCACAGCAGATTGGCAGTCCCCAACAATAGGCTCAGGCCAAGGGCTTCCACTGTTTGCCTACTTTCTGTTGCCCTCTGAGGGCTGCACAAAGGAGCTGCTGGTGTTGAGCCTGGATACTGAGCCCTAAGATCCCCTCTTCATGGAATGACCCCCTCAACTTGCTCAAGACACTCTTACTATGTATCCATAAATGGCATTTTAGTATCACCAGGGAAATAGTAAAGATTGTACTATTATTATTATTGATTATCTTATATTACTGTGGATGAGCAATCAAAGGGCAAGCGATCTGTGGGAGTAATGTCTTTTACATCTAACTGGCCTTTAAGAGTGAGCTGATGGTGACGTGTGCAGTCACGACATTCAGAAGACCCTGGCAAAGGAACAGCCTGAAGCCAGTCCAAGGTTAGATGGTGAGTTCCAGGCCTGTCTAGGTAACAGCGAGACCCTGTTCCAAGCAAATAGATAAATCCCAGTAGGGCACCTTTAAAACATCTATAACTTTGAAAAAAAACTAAGAGAAGATACTTAATCCCTTTATGTTATTTATATATGGTTTTCTTCACTTTGTTCTTTATGTTGGGGTCAAACACCAGACATTAATATTCAGACTTTCTACCTTGAGACTCTGGAGAGGGGGTAGCAGTTTCATTTTAGAAACAGGGAAAGTAAAGCCCAGAGTAGTTCAATACCTTCCACCAGAAACACAGCTTACAGAATCAAATCAGGATTTAAATTCACAACTCGTGAGGCCAGAGAGCGTGTTCCCTCCAGTTCCACACCTCTGTGTAAAGAAACTGTGTTGAGCCTAGAGAGAGAGCTCTGGGAAGGTCCTCTACTTTGAATGGGTAGCCACACAGTGGGAGAATGACTGTCTCAGGCATGGACATGGCTTGATATTTCTCCTTATAAAAATAAATAAATGGATAAGGAAGGCATCAAAATCCAATGGAAAAGACAGACTATTCAGTGACTTAAGGTCAGCACAGCTCTAAGCAGTTTGAAAAGACGCTTAAGTTTTCTTCCATTGTGTGCTAAGATCCAAGTTAAATATAAATGTTGAGAAAAATTGATTTGAATGTTTATCAACCTGCTAAAATAAGGATTTCCTAAACTAGGGAGTAATAACAATTTTCAAAAGAAGTATTAACTATATTTCACTCCTTTTATCGAGAAAATGTTTCAAAAATGAGAAGACACATTTTAAAAAACTTAAGAAAAATATCTTCAGGAAAAACGATGGGCTTATATAATCCTGAATACATGACAATATTTTTAATCTGTAAGCAAAGATCAAACAATATTAAGTAATTTAAGACACTCGGGAGGCAGAGGCAGACAGATTCATGTGAGTTTGAGGCCAGCCTGGTCTACAAGAGGTAGATCAGGACAGGTTCCAAAACTACAGTGAAACTTCCTCGAAAAACAAAAGCAAACAAAAATGTAAGACATTAACAAACAGTAGGTCCAGATAATTTACAGTCACCAGGCATACATAGTTATGGGGTTTGCTTTTGTGGGATTTAAAGAAAGAAAAATCCCATTATTTTCCGAGTCAGTCTTGAAGGGTTGAACTCTAGGATATGATGGGGCAGCATGAGGTTATCTTCCTGGTGAGGGAGTATTGCGTGTGGCCACAGCCTAGATGGTGGAGCTGACTGTCCACCAAGGCTCTGTCCAGAACCACTATAAACATGCTAACGGCTTTGCATTTCCTTGCTACAAACTAACAAGGAACATAAGTGTCATCTGCCTCCACCTTTTGTCCGACTGCCGGTGCCTCTGGACAACAGAGTCTCATCTATGTGATTGGAGTGTGTTCCACGGGACATCTCCTGGAGGCCTTGCCTGTGGCTGGCTTGCTGTTGACTAGTTTTCCTAATGTTAGTGAAGTACAGTCTCAAACACTGACACAATAGAGGGCATAACAGCCACACAGCCCAGGAGTGGTTGTGTGTTATCATGGTCAGCGTTGTGCGCTGGGCATGACCCCATCTACTGTACTGCTGAGTAGCTGGACTCAGGCTCATTCACAGAAGCAGCTCCACAGATACAAGTCACATGACACTATGCTGTTGTGACATCACTAGGGGACAGGAGTTCTCCAGCCCTGTGACACTCGGACAGAAGTATCATTGGCACATGACTGTATTTACAAATCCGCAGGAAAGCAGGAGTTCAGAAGGAAGCCCCTTGTACCATGTGTTCTGGCTTTTCCCTCAGTAACATTCTCCTGATCGCTTTGTCATAAAGAACGTTCAGTCTAATGAGAAGGAAAACTCTTTGATAAGTACAACAGTTTCCTAAATCATGGCATTAAAGAAAACAGTTTTCTTAAACATCGAACTAACTAATAATCCTGTGTTTGTCAATTGAAACATTTTCACTTCTGGAAATGGTTCTGAGAAATAATAAGGTATATGCAAAGACATGCGATGATGCTCCCTGGTTCTGCAGTCTGCGGACCTAGCCTTCTAATGCAGGGAACTGAATTGTCCCTCTGTAACACGCAAGTATAATAAAATAGCTGTCAGTTGAATTTTGTTCTCTCAGAGACTTCTTCCTGGCCTGGGAATCTGTTCACAGTGTAAAGTAAGACAATACACTTGATATGTGCAGTCTGATCCCTTCTTAAAAACAAAACAAACAAATAAGACTACAGAAATTTTTCCTAGGTGTGTGTGTGTGTGTGTGTGTGTGTGTGTGTGTGTGTGTGTGTTTTAAACAGGGTCTTTCTATCTATCTCTAGTTGGCCTGGAACTCACTTTATAAACCAGACAAACCTAGAACTCATAGCGGTCTTCCTGCCTCCACCTTCTGAGTTCTGCAGTCACAATAATGAGCCACTATGCCCAGCTACACCAGTATTCTAATAGAGAAAAATATAGCAGTATAACAAGTGATTGAATCTTTGGAGGGATGTATTTATTTATTTGCAGTTTTGTGTTTTTATTTTTCAAGAATAAACTGTTTTTATCCGAAGAACACATTACTGTTGGGAAAAGTTATTTTGATGCAGTGTTGCTTGAGAAAATTTAATTATGTTTGTAAGTAGTATGATTACAGTTATTACAAAACCAAAGTGCATGAATAAAAAGATAGGAGAGAAAATGTCCAAAGGCTTATAGTGGTTGTTTTAGCGTGATGGGATTTTGAGTGTTCTTCATCCCTTCTTTTTTCTACTTAATTTTTTGTAATATAAACGACAGGTAGACAGCCACTCTTGAGCTGCAGTGAGGAAATTACTGTGCTGAGCTGTGTTCCTATTTTAGTAAATGAGACCCTGTGGCCTTTAAAGAGCTGTGCTGGAGGGCTGGTGCTACAGTGTCCTGGGGTTTTCAGCATGAATTCTTAAGCTGTTGCTAAAATTGTGGGACACCAAAATGAGGTAGGGGCTAGCATCCCAAATCTGAAAGGTTTCAAAGCCCACATGTTTTGAACAACATAATATCACACATGAACAATTCCATATCTGACCTCATGTGACAGGTGTCAATCTAAAATCAACTCCCTAAAAATATTCTAAACATACCCTCAAACTCCATGTATACGAAATGTAAGTAAGTTTATGTTGACACTTTGGCCCATCCCTGAGATACCTCATTATAGTCTTAAAAATCCATTTTAAAAGTGAAATCCAAAACACAGCTGTACCTAAACGCTTTAGCTAATGATTTTCAATGCGGATTGTTTTCTGTGTTGATAAGTCAGGAAATCCTTTTGCTCCATCAGTCCGGGGGGAGGAAGCTAGAGCAGGTATGTGTGGCGATGAATTAATGAGAAGCAAAGTAAATAAATCATGAGCACCTCTGACCATCAGCGCCCACGGGAGATGCAGGAAGATTCTGGTGCCTGCATGAACATTTAAGGAGTCCTGCTGGGCACTGTAGTACCTCAACTCAACAGCCTTGTGCCTGGATCTTTGAAGGAGAGAGACATTTATTTCTTTAGGAAAGCAACCTCCTACTATTCATGGGTGAAGTCTCATCGACCTGAGCCAACACAAGAAACAGGACACCTAACGAAGTGATAGATAGCGTAACCGAGGGAAAACTTGTGCAGGCCTCAACCCTAGATAAAGAACTTAGCCTACTTAGAGGTGCTGGGAGCAGAAGGATCCCAGGAAAGAGGGGGCAGTTGGTTACCCAACATCACAGGGTTGCCCTGAAAATACACAGACAACTAATGATATGCAGACTGTGTAGATTGCACACACACACACACACACACACACACACACACACACACGCACGCACACAAACGACAACAGTTAAAGAAAAAGCCATAAATTTGAGAGAGAGCAAGGGGAGTACATGGGAAGGGTTAGAGGAAAGATGGGGGGGATGGCATAGTTATATTTTAATTTAAAAAACTATTTTAGAGAAAAAGGAAGCAGCTACCACGCTTGGAGATCTTTATAGGGGACAGAGAAAGCTGGCTTTTGGAGGCTGTATACAGTATCTAAATCCTTACCTTGGGCTGACATAGAAAGACTCCAAGAGAAGAGACATAGAATTCCCTCTGTTCCTAAAGTTAAAAGGGCCCTCTGCTGTTTATTAGTTAGGAAGCTGCTGAGGCCTCTTGTCCCAGTGGCTCTTCTTGGGCACAGCATATGTAGATGAGATGAGCATCCTGAACCCATGAGACCTTTGGCATGACAGCATCTGCCTGAACCTCTCCTTTCCACCTAGTTCAGTGACTCATTCCTCAGATGGATGACAATACTGGAGCCACCCCAGCAGGCCAGCGAAGTACCTGAGCTGACTAGGGACTCAGGAGTCCAAGGAATCACCTTGTTCTAAACCTGTCCTCATTAAGGTCTAGGTTGCAGGAGTCAGAATTATGGTCGCCTTCGCCTCCACTTCCGTAGCACAGTGTCTGGTGGTTCTGTCTAATGTGTACAGGCCTACAGGTCAGAAGCCTTGGCTAGTCTCCATGTTCGTCTGTGATTGGCTGAAGGCTATATGCCAATGTTTGCTTGATTCAGTGAATGGGGTTGAAATTTTGCTTTGGAAAGCACATCCCCTGAGTATCCAGTATCCTTCTGGATCCTTCTTCATGAGTCTGGAGGGTGGGAGGCCATAAGAAAAGAGCAGAGTATCATTCTGCTAAATTACGGAGTCAAACCCAGGGCCTGAGGTTTCCTTCCCTTTGAGAGTCATTGTGGGTGAAGAAAGACAGGAAGTTATCCCACTCATCCGTGAATAAGGAATGATCTGCCACCATGGGCACCTCTGGACCAAACCATAGAGTTTATTTGTTAAGAGATTCCTTGGAAGCAGCCTGTTGGCCTCGGAGTATGCACTGGGACCCCCTGCTTGAAATCAGCCATGCGTTGAGGAAGAGTTTAGACTAGGAAGAATCGCCCTGAGTGACAGAGAATAAAAGGGTATGATTCAGTTTGGAACCCTCCTCGTCCTCCCAGGAACAAAGCTGGGTTGTGCTTGAGGTTTGTGGCACGTGTCTGCACAGCGTTCATGCCCATAAGTGAAGCCTCCTTTGAGGAGAACTTCGTTTCCCATTTTGTTCTTCGTGAGGCTCACTTCTCTGAAGTGACCTCTGCTTCATGCCACCCATGTGCATGGGCCTGTGACCCGGTGTTTGTGCAATTAAATCATTTGTGTGTTTTGTGTCTCTTGAGACTATCCCAAATATATGCAATTTTCTTTCTGCTCCCCCACTAGGAAAACTCCGGCGACGAAAGCCGAGCCCTGGTGCACCAGCTCTCCAACGAAAGCAGGCTGTCCATCACCGACTCCCTTTCTGAGTTCTTTGATGCCCAGGAAGTCCTGCTTTCTCCTAGCTCTTCAGAAAACGAGGTTTGGACACTGTTCTCAGTCATCTGCCCCACCCCATCTCCTTTAGGACCTTCTTTACCAAACTGCTCAGTAAAGATTTGTCAACAAAACGTTAGACTCCCGTGGCTCCTCTGCACCATCACATTCCGAGGATCTGCTTGTAATGCACCCCCAAACACAAAGTGATACCATACACTGGGAAAATGTGAAATTCAGGGTGTTGGACTCTTGTTTCGGTGACTTTGGCTTTTTGCAGCTTCCCATTGCTAGTTGTGAATTCTGCCTGTTCATATACCTGCTTTATATCCTGTGTTTTTTAAAATCACGTTAATTGATGTTGTAGATTTTATATCATTATTGTTTGATGTGTTTATTATGTTAATCTATACATATAATTTTTTTAAATTTATTTATTTACTTATTATGTATACAATATTCTGTCTGTAGACCAGAAGAGGGCACCAGACCCCATTACAGATGTTTGTGAGCCACCATGTGGTTGCTGGGAATTGAACTCAGGACCTTTGGAAGAGCAGGCAATGCTCTTAACTGCTGAGCCATCTCTCCAGCCCCAAGTACTAACCAGGCCCGACCCTGCTTAGCTTCCGAGATCAGACGAGATCGAGCGCGTTCAGGGTGGTATGGCCATAGACCATATAAATGTTTTTAATTGATGCATACAAGCATACTTTTTGGAATAGGGAAGCTCCACAGAAATACAATATACATTTGTGTACTAATTCCTATAGAAGAGTCTTTTCACAAAGAGTTCATAAACAAGTTGCTTTCCCCGTTGTTCAAGTATTAACATGTTCTAGAAAGGCTGCAGGGTAAGAATTTTTATGATGACAACAGTAACCTTTGAGATTTTTTTGTTTGCTTATTGTTCTTGTGAGAACCAAGAATATCTAAGAATGTTCTTTCCCCATCCTTTCCCCTCCCTCATTGTCTCTTTTTTCCTGGCCTGGGATCAAACCTGGGTCCCTCACATCCCAGGCAAGCACTCCCCCTACTCTTCCAGCCTTAGCCGTTTGTTTGTTTGTTTACCATGAGCATTGTCCAGGTAGATTGAGGGTGTCTCATGAGAATAGTACCCCAAGTGATTTCTGTAGATTTGTAGATTTGTAATGTGAGACACAGCATGCTTGATCATTTGGAGTGGGTTTTTTGAAAGACTGACTCTCTCATTCTCTCTCTCTCTCTCTCTCTCTCTCTCTCTCTCTCTCTCTCTCCCCCCCCCCCCATTGTGTTATCTCTTCTTTCCCACAGATTTCTGATGACGATTCCTATGTCAGTGACATAAGTGACAATCTGTCCTTGGACAACCTTAGTAATGATTTAGACAATGAAAGACAGACCTTGGGTAAGTGTTACATTACAGGATCTCTGGAAGCCTGTGACTGTATGTGAGTGTGTATGTGCATGAGTGAGTGTGTGTGTGTGCGCACGCGTGTGTGTAGGGCTCATGTCAACCTTAGGCGTTATTTTTCTGGTGTTGTCCACCTTACTTTCCAATTAGGCTTTCCAATTAGGCTAGGCTTGCTGCCTGATTGCCCCGGGATCCTCCTGTCTCTGCCTTCCAAGTGCTGAGATTACAACTGTGCACCACCATGCCTGATTTTTAAAAAAATAATAATAATAAGGTGTCCATTGTGTAGCCAAGCATTTTCTCTGTAAGTGCAATACAGGATACGGTGTTCTTCTTCAGGCACTGAAGTGCTGTAGTTTAAGAGTTCAATAGGGCGTGTGTAACTGAAAAGTCTAAGTGATAGTTAGCTTCAGATTGCTCAGAAGAATATACTCCTAGTCATCCCAGGGTATCCTAAGATACCTCTTTATTAATGCTTAATCTTAAGAAGGAAAATGATGACCAAGAAAGGTATTTCAGGGACTGGCAAGAAGGCTCAGCGGGTAGAGGTGCTTGCTACCAAGCTTAGCAATCTGAGTTCGATTCTTGGAACCCACAAAATAGGATGATGTGAGTCTGAACTGCAGGGTCCCTGGACTGTTGCTCTACTCCTAGCTTGTGACTTCAGGAAGCAGAATGGTCGGGTTAGGAAGATGCTTGTGGAGTGAGTCCGTCAGGTCCACAGTCCTCTGCACAGGTCCCTTAACATCAGACACTCCCAGTCTCCGTGTCTGGTTACTCCCCACTGAATACTCGAAGCACCATCACCCACCCATTTTCTATCTACACAGAGGACAGGACTGTGCTGATCCCTTTATTTCAGTGTCTCAGCTCAGCAAGTGTTTCTGAGCCATGCTGATGGGTTATCTAAACACCTCAGAGCTGCTCCTCTGAGGGCTCCAGAGCCACAAAGCCTCCATTCAGCATCACCTGCTGGAAGGAAGGGCCCTCATGTACCCTAAAACCCAGTGAGTTAGAAGTAGAAGGTCACAGATAGGAATGCAAGCTGTTTTCTAGGAAAACAGAATGGAAAGGAAAATGAAGAAACATCACTTGCCCCCTTGGTGAGCAGTGAGTGGGGTGAGCACTCAAATGGTGCTCCAGCTACAGAGGAGGAAGAGGATACGTGCTGAGGCCCCTCCCCCACCTCCTGGAGGCTTTAGGGATGGAGTCAGGGAAGCACAGGGTGAACAGGATACAGAGGTCAAGTTGGGAAGAAATGATTGATCCAGGACATAGACTGCAGTTAGGCTGCATCAATAGCAGCTGAGATGGGCAAGGAGGTGGTCGGGCTGCTCCTCTGGCTTAGTCCATGGCTGAGCTGACCACAGAGGCGGTCAGGCTGCTCCTTTAGCTTAGTCTGTGGCTGAGATGCCCACAGAGGTGGTTGGGCTGCTTCTCTAGCTTATTGTGTGGCTGTTTAGCTCAAACACAGCACAGACTGGGCGGAAATTCCTTCATCTGAACTTGAGTACCAGAAGCAGATGTCCCCAGTTCTCCATAGACTTTCTCTGATGGTGACAGGGTTTTTAGACATCTAGAAAAGACACCTGCAGAAATAGCCTTCATGTCCTACAACTCAGTTTCCCTACTGAGGAGAAAAGAGGTGAACCCCACTCTGTCTGTGGGTGTAGCTCAGTTGGAAGAGTGTTTACTCGGCATGTGTGAAGTCCTGGATTCTATATCAAGCACCATGTATGGTGTAGGAGGTCCTTCTGTTTGTGTGTTGCTTTTATTGGTTAATGAATAAAGAAACTGCCTTGGCCTAGTTGATAGGGAAGAACTTAGGTAGGCGGGAAAGAAGGAAATGGATTCTGGGAGGAGGAAAGCAGAGTCAGAGGGAGAGACATGCCAAGTCTTTCCTGGTAAGCCACTGCCACATGGAGATATACAGACTAATAGAAATGGGTTAAATCAAAATGTGAGAGTTAGCCAATAAGAGGCTAGATATAATGGGCCAATCTGTGATTTAATTAATACAATTTTTGTGTGGTTATTTTGGGGCTAAGCTAGCCCAGCAGCCGGGAAGAACAAGCGGCTCCCCTCCTTGCAACATATGTCAAGTGAGGCATGATAGTGATCTCCTGTAATCCCAGGATTAGGGAAGTAGAGGCAGCAGAATCAGAAATTCAAGGGCGTCCTTGGCACAACAGAACTCAAGTCCAGCCTGTTGGCTACATGAGACTCTCTATTAGGCAAGAAAATGAAAATGAAAACAGCCAAACCACCGCTCTCCAGCTATTGCACTAGAACCCCCAGAGCACACGGCAGACCCTTGGTGTTCAGGGTGCTTCTTACCAGTTTCTCTTCTTTAAAAAAAAAAAAAAAAAAAAAAAAAAAGCACGGGTCACGCGGAGGGCCTGCTGCTGTGCTGAAGAAGTAGCTGAGACCATGAACTGAAGGGAATCCTTGAGCCCCAGCCCCAGCTCTATTCCTTGTTGGTTATGTGTGCTGGCCCCTTTTCTCTGCCTCACTTTCTTCATCTATAAAATGGGGATAATAATACTGCTTACTTCAAGACGCATCCTACGGAGGAAGAAGAAGAATTCCGACATCACAGAGTGAAAAGCAGAGTGCATACAAGCCACCAGGAGGGTGACTGTGGTGGCCACCTTTCTTCAAAAGAGGGTAGCCATCTTTCTTCGAAATGTTAGACGAGTACAGTCTCAGTTTGCCGTTTGCACGTGCTCCCTTACTGAGCTACACCCTGCCCCTGAGCTTTGGTATTGCTCAAAATTCTCTTACGAGTTTCAAGCTTTCCTTCCTACACTGCATAACTGAGCTCGAGAGTGAGTACTTGCTTGGGAAGGTTGTACTCCCGGATTACTCCGCATGGTGAAACACAAGCAAAAGCTTCCTGGAGTCAACCAGAGTTCTTTCCTTCCAGGTCCTGTTCTCGAAAGTGGTGGGGAAGCCAGGTCCAAAAGGCGGACGTGCCTGCCGGCGCAGGGCCCCAACACCAGTAGTGTCAGCTTGTGGAGCATCCTGCGCAACAACATCGGGAAGGATCTGTCCAAGGTGGCCATGCCCGTGGAGCTGAATGAGCCGCTGAATACCCTGCAACGGCTCTGTGAGGAGTTGGAGTACAGCGAGCTGCTGGACAAGGCTGCGCGCATGCCCAGTGCCCTGGAGAGGATGGTGAGGACCCACTCCCTGGCATTGTTCTTCTGAGCCTTTCGGAGCCCAGGGGCCTAAAGCCCAGGCTCATTTTGGTTGATCCTTAGAGATGGACGTTTCTCAGAAGATACTCAGTTCTTGCCTTCCCGTGTACAGTTACCTCAGAATCCGCAGAGGGGAAGCAAGGGGCCTCCTGCAGCTGGTGCCTGGGGGCGGGTGGCTCTGCTCTTTTTGTGCTTGCTCTTTCTCTGGAAGCTTCCATCTGACGGTTCTCAGAGGCTTGACTGGAAAACATGGCTTTAGGCTGTCTGTGTTTATTTTTACTACCCTGGGTGGACAGAATTTAATTTCTTGAGCTGTTTCTCTCATCCCGAGTAAATTTCCCTTGAGAATGTTTTTGTTTATTTCTGGAATTGTCCCATTCGCTCCTACGTTTTTGGAAAATATCACTCACAGAGAGTGATTTTATACCATTACACCAGAAAATGACCCCCCACCACCTTTTTCTCTCTCTTATAGAGTTATTTAAATAAACAACTTTGTTGGTAAAACTCTTAAATATTTGTTGTAGAAACTGTTTTTCTGGCTTCCTCGAATGTGCACTGGTGGTCAGTCAAGCCCTTGCCTGTGTGGGGAGCCGGGGCTTCAGTGCTGAGTTCTCTTGTTATTTGCTGTCTGGCTAAACTAGAGAGGAGCGTGCCCTTGGGCTTCACGGAACTAGCCGACAACACCCCCACCCCCATCTCCCCCCAGCCCCCCCACCCCTGTGACAGAGGATGGAGACCCCTCTAAACTCTACCCAGCCTGCAGTTCTCAGGCTCAGTGAAGCTTCTTGGCTGCCACAATTTGGAAATGAATGGGAACCTCAGCTACTGGCTGAAAGAGACATTCCCTTGTCCTTCTGCCTGAACTCTAGGGCCATCTTAGCAAAGAGATTTTCTCTCTTTGATGCTTATGATCATATGATTATAAATGCAAAAAAACACCAGTTGAGATTTTGCCCTTTTTGTTGAATTTCCCCAGAGAGGTCTGCTGGAGACAGGGAGGCAGGAAGCTTCTAAATCTAGTGGTAAAAGTCAGCATTTATGGTGCCTTGCCTCAAAGAGAACGATTCACTTTGAACATGAAAATATTCTCTTCTTTGGGTTTTGGTTTTTTGAAACAAGGTTTCTCTGTGAGTCTTTTGAGCCTGTCCTAGAACTTGCTCTGTAGACCTTGAACTCACAGAGATCTGCCTGCCTCTGCCTCCTAAGTGCTGGTATTAAAGGTGTGTGCCACCACCACCCAGCAGATTCCCAGAACCCATATGGTGACTTGCAGTCATCCATAACTCCAAATCCAGGGATCCACTGTCATCTTCTGGCCTCCTGGGCACTGGATGCACATGGTGCACAGGATGCACATGGTGCACAGGATGCACATGGTGCACAGGATGCACATGGTGCACAGGATGCACATGGTGCACAGGATGCACATGGTGCACAGCCATACATGCCCACACAACAGCCACATGCAAAATAATAAAGTTTTTAAAAGAAGGGAAGAAAATGTTCTTAAGTGTGTTTCACTTCTGTAGCAATTTAAAACCCTTAAGATATTCAACAATTGATCCCAGTAATTGACCTAGAGCAGGTTTTTAGGGAACACACAGCGGTGTACAACAGTAATCCCAATACTGGGGAAGCAGAGGCAGGAGAATTGGTGCATGTTGGGGACCGACTGGATGTATCCAAGCCTCAGGAATGCAGTATGGCCTGGAGAGGTCTAGTCAGTAGCGTGTTTGCCAGGCAAGGACAAAGACAAGGACCTGGGTTTGATCCCCAGGACCCATTTAACAGCTGGCACAGCGGGAAACCCTTAGTGCTGAAGGGCAGGTGGATTCTTGGAGCTCACTGGCCAGATGCTATCACCAAATCAGTGAGCTCCATGTCTGGTGAGAGACCCTGCCTCAACAATTATGGTGGGGAGCAACTGAGGAAGATATCTGATGTTTTATCTCTCATTCCTGTGCACATGCTTGCACACATGCACTTGACACACACACACACACACACACACAGTTATAGATGACACTTACTTAAGTGTAGCAAACATCATAGGATGTTCAGAGAAAAACGCTGAAACTGTTCCTATCTGGTATTAAAAAGAAATCTCTACGTTACTACTTTCATATGACTTTGAAGGGGGCAAAACAAAACTCAGACAAGAGATTCTGTTTCCGTTGATGCTCTGAAGGAGACTCTGAAGAACATGCTGGAATCTGCATGGTCAAGTTCAGAAGAGGATTTTACTAAACCCATGCGTGTAGTTTATTCTTCCTCCCCTCCTCCCTCCCCTCCCCTCCTCCCTCTCCCTCCTCTTCTTCTCCTCCTCTTTCCCCCTCCTCCCTTGCCTTCTCACACCCTCCTCTTCTCCCCTCCCCTTTCCCCCTCCCACACCTTCCCCCCACCGTGCTTCTCAGTTTTCCTCCCAGAAAGGCAGAACTTCCAAGTGCTCTGGGCTTTTGCTCTGTTGCTTCTCAGAGTACAACGATGACTCACATTTCCTTTGGTCAATGTGAGTTTAAGTTTTCAGGTTTCTATGATATCAGTCAATGACGAGTTAAAGGTGTTGTGCATGTTTCTGAACTGGAGGGGGCGTTTTACTTCCCTGTACACTTTTCCATCTGCCCTGAGACCCCAGTATTGTGATTTCCAGCACTGCCTGGCTGTATGTAGAGGATCCAGCACCCACACGCTGTGGAATGAATTTTATCACCTCATTCAAATCATGCCTTCCAGACTGCAGACACCGGGAGAAACCGGCAATTTAAGCTGGCTGATTTGTCTCTGGGCTCAAAGGAACATTACTTAAACCTGCAGTTGTAAACCCAAGTTGGTGGTCTTTAAACCAAAGACATAGTATTGTCTTTCTGGAATAAGCAATAGGTTTTCCTTCTTCGTGACGGATTCCTTGGTGACATAGAAGTAAGCTAGTCCTTGTCTTCCGCGCGCAGGTCTACGTGGCAGCCTTCGCCATCTCTGCCTACGCATCCAGCTACTTCCGAGCAGGCAGCAAGCCATTTAACCCGGTCCTTGGAGAAACGTACGAATGCATCCGACGGGACAAGGGCTTCCAGTTTTTTGCCGAGCAGGTGATGTGCGCCCTTTGTGTTTGTTGAGAGAATCGCTTGTGCCTGCTATTAAATGCGCTTTTGAAATATTTACTTCCCTCCTTTCACTGGCTTCAAAAGGACTGAGGTAATTACAGGCTTGGCAACAGAAAGCCAGGATATGTTTTCTCTGCGTGGAAGCCGAGCTAGCACCCTCACCACACTGGCCTCCCTAATTCTGAGCACCTGCCTGGTGACATGCAGCGGCTGTGGCAGCGTTCATTCTCCTTCATATCATTAGCAAAAGGAAGTGCCAAGGTCCAAGCCTCTGCCCAGAGTGTGACTTAGAGAAAAAGTGTGCCCAAATGGTTGTCACTACTATTCTGGAGCCCGACTGCCCCTCCGAGTGGGCATTGCCATATCAGTGCAATGGTCTAGATTTCTGCTTATGAGAAATCACTTGTGTGTGTGTGTTTGTTATTCAGAGCAACAATGTATGTCTCTCTCTCTCTTTTTTTTATTGTTTACTATATGCCTGTTTACTATTGCGTATGGCTCAGACCCTGCAGTGGAGTGGGGAGGCAATGGGCATAGACAAGAGTCCCTATCTAATGAGTGGATATGTTGTCCTAATGTGGCCTGAGAACCATTAGGTCCTTCCACACAAGGTAGCATGGAAGGGTCCGGAGCCAAGTGGCTCACATTTGAAGCACAGCTCTGTTTCCCACAGACTGTAGGCAAGTGGAGGTGAGGCCATCATTTGTGTCTTCTGTGGTTCTAGAGCAGGGTCTGATCACAAAGTATGACTGTTCGGTGTGCATTGAAAAATGAATGCGTTTGCCAACGAACACCCCTTCGGCTAAAATAGATTATGCGTCTTTAGAACGATGCAAACTGCCCTTCCGGGAGACTAGCCATCATTGCTTTGATAGATTTCTCTCCCAACTCCTAGAAAACCAAGGATAAAGAGGGAATGTGGGTTGCTAAATATTCGTTCCCTTCTGGTTATTTTTGTCAATGGATTTGCATCATGGGGTCTGGGAGAGAAGATGTAGTGATCTTGGCTTTTCTTTGCTGTGATTCCCCCCACCCCCTCCACCGCCCTTCTGTCTTCCTTTTGAGATAGGATCTTACTACACATCCAGTCTGGCCTCAAATACACATTCCTCTTTCCTCAGTCTCCCAGGAAAGAAATTACAGATTCACCACCACCACACCCAGCTCCCCAGAAACTGGTGACTGTGATGTTTGCTGCAATGCCATATAGACTGGTCACGCCTGCCTGCCGTCCAACTATTCAAAGGCCTCAGGCAGAGAATTCAAGGCCGATCTTGGCTTCATAGAGAATTCTAGACCAGCTTAGGCTGTGTAGTGAGACTTTATCTCAAAAACAGACAACACAAAAGCCAAAACCCAGAATAATGGTGTTCCCTGGAACTTTGAGGAAAATGAATATCCAGAAGCCCCCAAGCGTATTGCCAGTGACTTCCCAGGTGAAAACGAAAGGTAAATAATTGCTTAATATGGGGAGGTGGGAGCTAAATCGGTAGTTATGGGATCCAGTAATCTGTGTGAGTCAAATTCAGCTGGGTTATTTAAACACTGACTCTAAAGTGGATTGAGAATAAATGAAGACATGATTTGGTTGCCATGGTGTTAGATGCACTTTTGTGGGGGAAAAGAAAAAAGAAGGAAATGAAGGCCTGAAATAGCCCCAAACTACAGCTGGCAATCAGAGCAGAGCGAGGAACTCTCAGAGGAGAGTGGTAAGAGCTGTGGAAAGGTGGAGGGCAGTCCTTGGAGTCCTGAAGGGTGGCACCAGTCACAGGATCTGTAGTGCATCTACTGTGGGACTCGGATCGGAGGACCAGGGCCAGAGGGCAGGTGCTCACGCACCCAGAGGGATCACCAGAGAACTTAGTCTTTGGCTCCATGAATCAGAATCCCAAGGTAAAAAGCAAAACCCGCATCTGGCCATTTTCTGCAGCATAGGACGTGCCCTCTGTTTGCTCAGCGTGTGGCGTGCGGCCTTGCAGCCTTGCACCAAGTGACTGAAGTCTTTGGAGCCTTTGTGTTTATCCAATGGGAGTGGCAGTACTTGGCTTGCAGGCTGTAGGAAGGCATAAATGAAAGAGTGCTGTGACGATAATGCCCTTACACCAAGAATGCATGGTTAATGGTTATTGCCCTTATATTTAGAGAGGACTTTAAAATACCTCTAAATGAAGTGTGGAGAGTAGTTAAAGAGGAGCCCAGGACATCCAATAAGATACATTGTGTACATTGTGTCTCTCTGCAAGCACGGAGGAGGGGGGGGGGGCTGAGTGCCTTCAGTGATACAGAGTGAGTCCTTAGACAGCCCTGTTTTGGTTTACTGTCATTATGACCACTGGTCCTGATTGTAATGGAGCCAGAGCATCTGTCCGGGTTTTAGCCTTATGACTCAAATTGCTGCTTTTAGTGCACCGAAGAGAAAACCGAGTGTCTCGGGACAGAACTGGGATGCCACTGCTCTGTGCCATTACTGCGACTGAGGTGGGTTTCCCCGCTAGCAGGTTACTAGGGAAGCAGGATTATGATCTCAGGAGATGTGAAGATGTGTCTGCCATCACACATGCACGCACGCACGCACGCGCGTGCGCACGCACACCCTTGCTTTCTGTCCTCATTCACCCTTACCAGATGACGCACTTCTGTGAATCCCCTACCATAGCATATCTAAGGGGCACCATCCATTTCCTTTCATGTGCTTACCTACTTGTGTGACTTTTCTGCTTCTGGCTCAGGACAACAATCTGTCCCATGGAGGCAGCATGAGCTTCACTTGTCCAGTGTGAGCAGTTGACAAGCTTTTAGAATGTGAGGATAGTCTGTGTTTCCCTGTGCCTCTCTGTAAGTACAGGTGTCTGAAGGACCAGTAATGAACTGAGAAGGAGGCCCTAATTTAAGATCTCTCTCCCTCTCCCTCCCTTCCTCCAGCTCTCTCTCTCTCTCTCTCTCTCTCTGTAGGGGGCATGGGGCTAGGGTCAACTCTCCTGTTCTCATGCCCTCAGGACTGGCTAACCTGCAGCCAGGACAACAGGATTAGCTGTGGTGTGTTGTAGCTGGTGAGGGGCAGGGCTAGCTAGTTCTCTGATTCCCACGACCCCAGTGCCAGCCTTCTTGCCTGCCAGTACTTCTTTTGGATCTGTCTAAAGGCAGTTGGCTGAACACTGTTAATCTGCTGTAGTGGTTTTAAAAGATCACACCTGCATTCCTATAAAATGTGTACATACCTCCTAATATCACAAGATCCTTCTAGTTCTTAAGGACAGTACGCAGCTTCATTTTATTGGACTTACAATAATTACAGACTAGGCACGTGATGTTTGTATGCAATAGTTTGGTTTGGTATTTTTTTCTATTTGGGGGTCCCATACATGTAGCAAGTTCTTGATGGTGGCTGTATTGCTCCCTCCCACATTCCATGGCTCCTCACCCACTCCAGTGGGACATGTCAGGTAGGTAGAGAACTGTGATTGGAGGAGGGGGGAGGTGGCCTTATTCCAGTTTAATCATATGCAACCCTATGATTTAAAATTCAGCTAGACTATTCTGAGAGCGCTCTCATGGGAGGAAGAAGGAGGATAGAGGGCTTTGTGCTCCAAAGTATTGCCCAGTAGTTGGGCTTTCAAAACCCATGACATAGAGAAGCAGGCAGTTGCTTTGATTATAGGAGATGCGGCCAGAAGATAGTGAAAATTTTTCTCCAAAACTGCAGAGAAAAGCAGGGGCCTTGTGGCGTCAGACAGCACACGGGGAACTAAGACACATCAAGCGACAGCAGCGTCCCACCTCCTACTTCCCATAGCTGGAATTTCAGTTCATTGAGTAATCTGAAGGTGTGGGTGCTATTTCTGTCTTTCTCCGCTTTCCTGGCTCTGCAGCCTGTCAGTTAAGGCGGTGGCAGGATGCCTGGGGATCCATCAGCCCAGCAAGCGTCACACAGGGGGTGGTTTACAAAGCAAGATTCTCAGCATGGGTGAGCCCAGGGTGGGTGAGTGAGTGGCTGTGGGCTTGTCACTGTCCGTCCCCTCCTCCCATCCCTTCTTACACACCTACTCGGTCCAGATAGAAGTCCTGAGTGATTAATGTGATGTGTCTGAGAACAGTCCAGCTACTTCACACTTTGATCCTGAAGTCTATACACCACCAAGGCACACCGATACTCAGTTTTGCTTTGCGGATTCTCTCCATGCTGTGGTTTGGGAAATTGGACCGATCTGGTTTCAGCCTCCATGCTGATCATAGGAAAGGCCTTGAGTAGACCCTCCAAATAGAAGATAACCTCGCTAAGAGCCATTGAAGTCAGAGGGATTTCTGGACGCGCACTGCCAGCATGGCTGGTTTTCCCATGAGTACTGATCTGTGAGAACAGCACAGGGTCCTGACTGCTACCGAGATAAAGAGATGAAGCACAGCCTCCATTTTGTACTGAGCGGCTTGATTGATGGGTAAAGCAAGCAATGGTGCCCTCCAGTGGCAGCCTCTGTTTCGAGGCTCATCCCTTCTAGGATATAATTATTTACTCGTTCAAGATTGCTTGTATATATTGATGATAGTTTTTTCTTTGCGAGCATGTGTGTTTGTAAGTGTGTGTTACAAGCGCGTGTGTCTGTGTGTGTGTGCGCGCATTCATGTGTTGGCAGGCGCACGTATGTGAGCCACAAGAGAACTTCATGTGTTGTTCCTCAAATACCATCTGTGTGGTTTGGTTGTTTTTCTGAGGCAGGGTCTCTCACCGGCCTGGTACTCACCAAGTAGACTAGGCTGCCTGACCAGTGAGTGAGTCCCAAGACCTGTTTGTCTCTGCTGTGGCGCTGGGTTTACAAATGACAGCCAGCAGGCCCAGCTTGCTTGCTCCCCGCCTTCCCCAGTGTGGGTCCTGGGTCTGTATTCAGTTCCCTGCACTTACACCGCAATGGTGCCGTGGACTGATCATCTCCATAGTCCTTACACCTTCTCCCCTCTTGGCACTCGATAAACTTTCTTTAATGACTATGGCTAGTTCTGCTTTACAGACACAGTATTCTGAAGAACTCTCTTCGGGGCCAGTGAGATGGCTCAGCTGGTAAGGGCACTGGCTGCCAAGGCTTAGGACCTAGGCTCCATCCCGAGGACCCACAGCGTGGAGGGTGAGAACCGGCTCCCACGGTTGTTCTCACCTTCCACGTGGGAACCACAGCACGCGAGCGTGTGTCTGTGCATCTCACACACATGCCTGATAAATGAGTGAATAAATTTTAAAAATTAAAAAAAAGAAAGAGCTCTCTTGGATTGACCATATCAGTGACGTGTGGTTCAGTTTTCTGAGCCCTAGGGGAACAACTTTATGCTCTGTTACTTAGAAGTGGCATGCCCGAACGGTGACACTGACAGCTTGCTTAAAGTGCCTGCAAGTCTTTTCATAGCTGAGGAGAGTGCAGACCTCAAGCCGTCCTCTTTTTATTTTATACTGTTCATCATGCCTGTGTCCTCACCACTTGAGGCTGGCCATGCTCCCAGGAAAGCTTCTGGAGGCTTCCATTCACAGCTTCCTTCCCTCCCACCCAGAGGAAGGGGGAGCTGGCTATGTCAAGACCGCCCTCTTGAAGACACACTTGTTCAAGCTGTAGCACTGCTCCGGTGACCCCAGCTCAGCGCAAGGGGAAAAGCACTGGCTTTTCAGCCCCAACATCTCCTCGAATTATGTTTTCTGTCCTTTGTCCCCATCAGGTGAGCCACCACCCTCCTATCTCTGCCTGCCACGCTGAGTCGGGAAACTTCGTTTTCTGGCAAGGTATGTGCTCATCCATGTGACCTCCGCTTTCATAGCATTGAAGATTTCATGTTTTCCGGGGATTGCTCAGTCTTGCCAGGATCAAAAGCAGCCCCTGACCTGCTCTTCAGACAGTGTCAGACTTCCTGATGCGCGACCCTCCCCCTCCTGAACAACAGCTGACGTGTACCACATACTCATTGACAGTGTGTTATTTTGTTGATTGTTATGGATGCTACAGATTCAAGAGATCAATTCATTTTTTGCCTCTTAAGACACTTCCTCCATCTTTACCTGAGTCACCTGTTCCTGGAGCTTTTCCTGCATTTACTCCACAACGTCTTGACATGCAGGGGTTGCGGCAGAGTGTAGACAACACATAGGTCTCTTGCTTTTAAAAATCTAAATTCTGTTTGCAAAATTACATTTGGCACCTCTGAATTCTATTCACCTTTGTTTTTATGAGCATTTTTACTTCATTGAGCTTTCATTTCGTTTATTTAGTGCCTATGTGTGCGTGCATGCGTGCGTGCGTGTGTGTGTGTGTGTGTGTGTGTGTGTGTGTGTGTGTGTGTGATTGTTTACGTGTGCGCCTGTATGGGGGTCAGATGATAACTAACAGGACTGGGCTCTTCTCCTGTCCTGTGGGTCTGGAGGATGGAACTCGTGTTCATCAGGCTTGGTGGCAAGCACCTTGTCCCACCGAGCCACCTCGTTGGTTTGTTTTTAAGTGTTTGGAGATTTTCATCTGTGCTTTGTGTGGTTGTTGCTATCTTGCTTTGTTTTGCTGTTGTCTGGCTTTGTTGTTTTTGTTTGTTTGTTTTGTTTTGTTGTTTTAAACCAGATGGGGGTTTCTCTGTGCAGCTTTGAAGCCTGTCCTGGAAGTCTCTCTCTCTCTCTCTCTCTCTCTCTCTCTCTCTCTCTCTCTCTCTCGACCAGGCTTGCTTCAAACTCACAGAGATCCACCTGCCTCTACCTCCCGAGTGGCGGGATCAAAGGTCTGTGCCACCACTGCCCGGCCTGTCTGGCTTTGTTTTTATTACTCTCAAGATCATAACCCAAAGGTTTGGAAAAGGCAGGTACTTCTACCACTGAGTTTTGGCCCCTCCCTCTTTACATTTTCAGGGTTGTTTTGGTACCGATGTTCCTAAAACTTACTTTTGGAGATGAAGGAGATGGCAAGTTGTTCTAAAAATAATGCCCCACATTTCTCCTACATGAGTTAGGTTTCTTAAGTTTCCATTTATTCAAACGATTGGAGTGCAGTAAGAGAAACCGAGTATCCCAGGCCTTCAAGAAGTTGAGCACACATCATTTTCTTTTAAAATATGGTTTTGTTTGTTGGAGACAGAGGCTCATGTAGACAGGACTAGCCTCAAATTTGCTACGTAGACCAGAATGACTTTAAACTTCTTAGACTAGGGTGACCTGGAGCTCCTTATCTCCATGCTTGACCTGCCAAAGCGCTGGGCTCACAGGCATATCCCACCACACCTGGTTTACACAATGCATAGGACTGAACTAGGGCCTCACGCATGCCAAGTGTGCAATTACCAACTGAGTTACATCCCAGCCCCTGACCAGTTTTTAAAAACATCCCCTTTACTAACGGTGCCATTTTGTTCCCGTGATGCCTCTATATCCATGTACATATGCATGTATCTCTGTGAGATCTGAAGGCACAAGAGCACAGTGTAACACTTCCCACCCTCCTGCTGCATTATCCACTTGTCTCGGTGTGAATGCAAGCAACATGAAAGTTAAAAGTGGAATGTTTCTTTTACTTAGTCTTTGCTACAGATGCTTAATATTAAATATTGAAGCTTCACCTGAGATTTCTCTACTTTTCATAAAAATTTTCTTGTAACAAGTCTTTCTCTGTCCTGCCAGCTCCCAAATAATGACACAGAGATTGCTTATTAATTATGAAAGCTTGACCTTAGCTTAAGCTTGTTTCTAACTGGCTCTTGTAACTTAAATTAACTTATTTCTATTAACTTACATGCTATTACATGGGTCATAGTTTTTACCTCTCCTCCTGCGTGTCCTGTTTCCTCTGCATCCAGCTGGCAACTAACCCCTTCTTCTTCCCAGTGCTCTCTCTCTCTCTGTGTCTGGAAGTCCCACCTATACCTCCTGTCTAGCTATTGGACATTTAACTTTTTACTCAACCAATCACAGTGGCATATCTTTACATAGTGTAATCAAATATCTCACAAGACCTTCTGGAAATGTTTCTCATAAGGTTCCTTAACTCCTACCTAATAAGTCTTATCAGCCTTGTAAGTATTTCTTTCTTGTTTTCTTAAAACTCTGCATTTTTGTCTTTAACAAGAGAACCTTCTCAGAATAGTTCCTGAAAGTTCTTTGTATTGCACACATCCCTACTCACCCTTTTCTGGGTGATTTCACCTGTCCCTTTGGTGTAGGATCTTCATATCTTCACATTTCTCTACCTTTTGACTGGGTTGTTTAGATCATTTACATTTATTGTGGTTATAGATGTAGATGATTTAAATGTGTCTTGTTTTCTAGTTAGTCAAATCTATTTCTTGATCCCACTTTTCTGTTTTTAATGCCTTCTTTTGAATTAGTTAAGTACTTTCTATATGCCTATCTTATCTCTTCTGTTGGATTATATCTATAGCACATTGTTTTGTGCTTAGCTGTTACTTCAAGATTATATATCTTTAAGATATTACAGCCTACCACCAACTGGCATTGTTATATATAAGTTTGGATATAGTAAGAAACATAGCAAAGTAAACCCAACCTCTGTGAGATTGTGTGTGTGTTGCAAATTCATCAATGCATTGTTATCTTTGCTCAAATCCAATTCTTTTTCAATTTTATTAAGAAATGCTCACAAACTATATTATTTACCCACCTAAAATATATATCTGATTTTTATTAGCACAATTAATTTTAAAAGAGTTTCATCACTCCAAAAACAGCATCTTAGCTAATAATGCTCCCATAGCTTCCTTCAAATTCATGATTTGTTGTATGTCATCAAAGGAATCCACTTGCCTCTCTCACCTGAGCTGCAGCTATGCATCTCCCAGCCTTTCTCATTCCTATAGTTTTTCTGTCTCAGTGCAGTCGCTGGACAGGGCCTGCTTCTCTCTGGCTCTCCCCTTTCTCTCTTGGTGGTGGCATCCACAACTTAGGATAGCTGGTACTACTTAGAAAGGTTCTCTCCTTTCCTTAGTCTGTGTCTGTTTGCTGCTCCGTCTCCATCTTTCCTTAGCCTGTGTCTGTTTGCTGTTCCATCCTCCACTGTTGCTTTTTTCCCATGAGCCCTTGCACCTCAGTGGTTGGCTTGACTTTTTACTCCTGTGCATCCCCTGAGCAGCCACAGCAGCCAGATATCTGATCCCCTTGCTTTTGTCCATTCCTATCCACACTTTGCATTTTTTTAACAAGGTTTTATCTAATTGCACTGGTTGATTCTTTTAAACCCAAACAAGACTTCTTGCTAGGTTTACGGAACCTACTGTTTCCTTAGAAAGCCCGACTTCCTACTCTTTTTTAGATAGTCTCGGACATACAGCCAGACCCACACTCCACTCTCTTACACTTCTAACCCTTTAAATACTGTTTTCCCAATACTGACTCCTCTATGCTCCATGAACTTATTTGTATTCTGCACAGCCCTGCTTAAATGACCCTTTCTGACAAGTCTCTTTGACGCCATAGCACACTGGGGACAGCCCGTGTCTGTGTGACCACAACTCGGTCTCATCTCGTTTTTGTGCTGTTGATTCTTTCAAGAGAACTTTGCCTTACAACTTTGTTTTCCTAATTCTGTTTTGGGTACCCAGTTGGGTACCTCTTTCTAGTGCATGAATAATTGTCTCCATTAGAACCAATTTATCCGTGGCGGTTATAGAATGACCAGTCATTTGTCGAGCCTGAGGCCTCTGGCCTACTTACCCGTCTTGTTGAATATGTGACATTTGATATTTTGTTTCAGATGTGAGATGGAAAAACAAATTCTGGGGTAAATCCATGGAAATTGTCCCAATTGGCACAACGCACGTGACACTGCCAGCGTAAGTTCCTCTGCATTAGGAATGTCAGGCCAGGAGTCCACGTTAGCAGACTGTCCAGGCTGCCCACCAGTCCCTCTGGCCCGGAGATGATGCTTTTCTCTCTCCTTCCATCTGGCAGTGGGTTCAGGTGGCCTCTGCCTGGCAGGCTCACGGTCTAGTGCTTTCCCTCACCGGATAGAAATGCCTCCCACAGACAACAGCTCTCTGAGCAGATTTTAAAATTCATTTCTGCCTCCCTCCAAGATAAAGTGTCATTTTCTTCACCGCTGTGGTCCCGTCTCACTGTCAGAATTCCCTCAGAGACAGACATGGCTTTGGTAATGCAGGCATCATCACTAGGCGCTTTTAAAGCAATCTGGGCCAGACTGGGGAGTCACATGCGGCTGTGGCCCTTCCTCCCGTGACTGTCGCTGGTCAGGCTGCCACTCCTGTCTTGTCATCTGCCTCTCAGGACACGTGGGAAGATTTGACACATATACTTAAAGCACTTAAAATACTGCTTACTGCTTCCTCACAGTAGCTACCGGACTCTCTGAGCAATGCCTGCGTTCTTCCTCATGAAAGAGGTGTAAATAGTGTGACTATTAAAGTGTGAGAGACTGGCCCCCCACTGCACCTATCAAAGTGTGGGAGACTGGCCCCCACCCCCACTGCATCTATTAAAGTGTAGGAGACTGGCCCCACCCACTGCATCTGTTAAAGTGTAGGAGACCGGCCCCCACCCCACTGCATCTTTCTGCCAGTTTCCCTTCCATAGCCAGGCGGTTTGCTGGCCCGAGAACCTCAATCACATGTCGCTTGGAGCTTTATTCGGGGCTGGGTCTGCAACTGAGGGATGTGTGACTCATTCCCTGCCTCGTCATATAAAGTAGGACGGCCCACTGCATCTGTGGCTGGTTCTTCCAGAAGCCATCCTTGACATCCCCCTCTCTTTCAGTTTTGGGGATCACTTTGAATGGAACAAAGTGACCTCCTGCATCCACAACATCTTGAGCGGACAGCGATGGATCGAGCACTACGGGGAAATTGTCATCAGGAACCTGACCGACGACTCCTGCCACTGCAAAGTCAACTTCATAAAGGTACCTTGAGGGGGCCAAGCTCTGGCACTAGAGGACAGGGCCAGTGGCCAGATCACAGGCTGTCTTCTGCTCTGTCACTTGACTGGGCCCTTGACCCTGCCTGCCTCCCCTACCATGGGCCCTCAGTGAAGAGCCCAAGGGACTCTTTAATAAGACGCCATCAGACCATGTGACACAGAGATACATGAAGGCATTGTGCTAAGTGGATAAACCAGACATGAAAAGATGTATTCTACATTATTGTATTGTCTATTCCAGATTGTCAATTCCAATGGATCGCCAGAAGAGCCAAGGTTAGAGGGAAAGAAAATAGAGCAGGGGTCAGGAGCTGTGTGGAGGGAAGAATAGAGAGTTTGTGTCACGGGTTCGGAGCTTCCGTTTGGGAAAATGGAAAAGTTCTAGAGATGAAAAGTAGCGGCAGTTGTACAACACTGTGAATGCACTTCATAGTTTTGAGCTGTGCATTTGAGATGGTTGAAATGAAGCCACACTTGGTGGCACGTGCCTGGAATTGCAGCGCTCAAGAGGTTGAGGCTTGTGAATTGCGAGTCTGAGAGCAATCTGGACTGCAACGTGAGACTGTCATGGAAGAAAAGACTTGGGGTGGGGACCACTATGCTCATGTGTTTTGCCACGAGGCAAGGTGCGACCAACCGTTCCCATTACAAAGCTTTCCACTCGCTTCCTTCCTCTCAGGTAGACACCTGCATTCTCTCAATGGCCTACGAGGTTCTGCACCATCAGTACTGCCAGCTCTCATCCCTCGGAATGCTTGTGCAGCCGTAGTAAGCGAGTGCACATGCATGTATGCGTGTGCACCCACATGCACACACACACACACACACACACACACACACACTCACTCACTCCTCCCCAGCCCCACCTCCCGCTACCCGCTCACTCCTGTCTGCCTCCTAAGCCGCTGAGCACACTACCCGTCTTTCCTCCCTCCCGCCCCACTGGCTTCTTTTCCGAAGATCCTGTGGTCTCCGCCTCACTCTGTCGTCCGCTCCATTTCACCATCAAATTTTCTTCAAGGTTTTTGTTACCACTGAAGTTAGCTTCCTAGTTCTTTTTTCTCCCGTCTGTCTCTCTGCTTCCCTCACCCTCCTTGCCAGCCCCAGCCCCACAGGAATAAAAGCCTGGTTGTTCCTGCTCATCCTACAGCCCTGACTGGCCCTGGATCCCAACAGCTGAGGCTCAGAACGCTCAGATAGATGAGAAGGCCAGCCAGGTGCAAGAAAATAAGCAGAGCCTCTCTCCAGCTTCCTTAATTTGGGACCCACCCCTTTCTCTCCCTCCTAGAATTACTTTGCTCTTTAAAACCTTGTATATTTAAAGTGACTTTACAGCACAGTCTTTGCCAAAGGATGTTTGCGTTTTACTAAGATCACAGGGGACATTTGAGGGATCGATCAGGCAGCTGGGGCAAGAATGTGTTCCCCTAGTCCAGGTAGATCAGTTGTCTGCATCGCCTCAAAGGAATGTATCACCCCCTTGTCTACCATCCACCTGGTCTCATCTTCTCAGTGCCAGAGAAAGACTGAGCCCTCAGCGTACTGAGATGACCGGTGCCCACCGTCACACGGGTTTACAGGAAATATGTGTGTGGTTATTTGAGATGGTGTAGTTATTTAAGATGAACATTGGGTGTTGAAAGAATATGGGGGCGGACACCAGACTCCCGTGGGACTTGAATGGACTTCCTATCCAGTCATCAGCGTTTGTTTCGTTCGTTAATATCGCAAAGGGCAAAATTCTGATCCTTACTTCCCAATAAACACCAGGGTTTGGGATCCTTTCTTCCCCTGCCACTTTTACTAGGCTGGAGAACTCAGTTCCTGGTGTCTTATTCTTCCCTGGCACTGCTGCGTCCCACCCGCTCCTTGCGTTGTTCCAAAGCTTTGAAGGAGAGAAACTGAACCCGTAGAAAATGACCTGGAAACGCCACTAAACTTTCCAAATATGGCTTCAGTTTCAGCTGAAAATAGTGCTGGGGCTTTTGATTTATGGAGAAATGCCTTCTGTGCGTGACAGTTTTTACGAGTGACCAGGTACTTGGAACATTTTCAAAGCATCACCTCTAGGGAGTTGGCACTCCCTCTGCTGGCTGGAGATTGGTACTGCATAAACTAGACTGAGCTGAGCTATGCTTTCGGGAGTTGGGATCAGCAGGGTTGAGCTAAGTCAAAGGCTGCCTCTCAGGCCACTACTGATAAATACTAAGACACTGTCTTATATGAGGACCCTGCAGCTGGAATGGGCCCGGAAGGGGAAAACAGTAGAAATTGCAATGTTAAGTAACCTCCTTAACTAGTATGCAAATGACTGTTTTCTTCAGGTAAAAAGAATTATGAGTTAATTTTAAATCATAGTAGTGAGAGTGCTCAGGCCTTGGAATCACAGTGACATGCCTGTTAGCCAATTAGCACTGACTAATGCACTAGGTACTTGGCGAATGTCTTAGAACTGTGTAGTCCATTCCTACGTCACATGAAGCAAAGGCAGAACAAGTGCATGTCTATGTGCATGCTTGTTATTGGGTTACAATCTTCAAATAGGATATTAGCTGTAAATTTTACTAAATAGCTAAAGCTATTTTGTTTTAAATCCAGAACCTGGGCAGACTAGAAAGCCTAGAAATGAATCCACATCTTTACCCTTAATTGATTTTTTAAAAGATCCCAGTAGCAAGCACATGGCGAGAAAGGACAGTTTCTTTGGTGGTGCTGCTTGGACCCCTGGATAGCCTTATGAGAAAGAGGAAATATTTGTAATCTGGCAAGGTGTTAAAACGCAAACATAGAAAGGAACCCAACTCAACAGGAAGAAAATAGTGGATAACTGGGGAACTGGGTGTGGCAGGATGCCCTGGTCAGACCAGCTCCTAAACTCAGATGTCTAAAGCAGGAAGGTCACTGTAAGGAGCTATCGGGCAGGAGCCTGTCTCAGAAATAGAATGCAGTCCGTACACGGATGAACCAATGGATGCTAGAGAACATGCAGTGAGTCGGGCTTGAGGCTAAAGGCTCTTGCTGCAAGCCTCGGGATTCGGATGCCGTCTCCAGAACCCACGTGGTAGGAGGAGTGAACTGACTCCTGGAAGTTGTCCTCTGATTTCTACATGTATGCCATAGCATGCTCAAGGACACGCGCATGTAAGCCAGTGTCTTCAACAGAGGCACACAGAGGTAGAAACCCTGTTCAGTGGCATGGAGCCTGCTTCCCAGAAAAGGGGAACAAAATGCTTAGATCTTGAAAAGTACACACAGACGGAGAATGGATGCTCAGCATCACTAATCAATCACCCAGGATATGAAAATTAAAAATGCCATGAGATGTCACTCACTGACTCATAATAGCTCACTTCGAGGGACAGTAGTGGCGCAGGCCTTTCATCCTAGCACTCAAGGGGCAGAGGCAGGAGGATTTTTGAGTTTGAGGCCAACATGGTCTACAGAGAGAGTTACAGGACAGTCAGGGCTACACAGAGAAGCCCTGTATTGGAAAAAATAAAAATAAAGAAGAACGACTGCTGGCACCCAAAAGACAAAGGGCAGACCTGAGAACTGGAGAGAGGGCAAACCCTGTACACTGCAGAGGGAACAGGAACTGGTGCAGCCCTTAGGGAGAATGGAGGTCCTCAAAACACTGAGCTTCTCTGGGGCCCTGCAGTCCGACTCCTGAGTAGACAGGCAAAGGACGTGAAATCAAGACTCCGTGTTCTTCACATCACTGTTCACAGGAGCAAAGAAGGGATCTGCCTGCATGCAGTCAACTCAGATACAATGCAGAAGCTACACCATGAAATACTGCCTGGCCAGGGAAAAGAATGAAGTCCCGTTTTGTGTGTGTGTGTGTGTGTGTGTGTGTGTGTGTGTGTTGTAGTAGTAGTAGTAGATACTGTGCAAAGTGAAATAAGCCCAGCTCATAAAAATGTAACATCATCTCACCTGTATGGGGAACTAAAAATGTTGATTTCTAGAAGCAGAAAGAAGGGTGGAGGTGAGGCTTGTACCCATCCAAGGACACAATCTTTCTGAAACTACAAGAGCGCCACTAACAATGTATCTATAGTCTTGAAAATAGCCAACCACGTTTTTTAAAGTGCCCTCGCCAAAAAAAGTGAGATAAAATATGCTTATTAGCTTGAGTTTAGCCATTCTACAATGTGTACATATTTCAAAATGTTATTTTATATATGATAAATATATATAATTTGTATTTTTAACTAAATAAGCAACCCATAACACTCTTATGGCATTTTTAAATGCAGTTCAGGTTAGCCTCAAATTTGACTTGCAGCTGAGGATGACCTTGAACTCCTGATCCTCCTGCCTTCTTTATAGAAGAACACCACCGGACCCGAACTTAGTTCTTTATCTTGCTTTCTTTATTCCCCCATCCAATACCAGTAATAAGTGGATGCCAGAATCTTTCTCAGACAACTCTCATCTGCATTCTAGGCAAAATACTGGAGCACTAACGCCCATGAGATCGAAGGCACGGTGTTCGACCGCCATGGGAAGGCTGTGCACCGGCTGTTTGGGAAATGGCATGAGAGCATCTACTGTGGCGGTGCCTCCTCCTCCACGTGCGTCTGGAGAGCAAGTGAGTATCCACCGGATCCCAAGCATGGGGCGGGACCAGGAGCTGTGACCGGGCGAGTGCTGCTCTCTACCTCTAGCTGCCGCCTGCTTGTTAGCAGGTTAGAGGTACTGGCCCATCCAAGTCCTGGTCATGCTTACAATAGCCTCTCAGTTTGGCTGCTAGGTTCCATCCTGGGTTCTCCGGACCTCAGAAAGGAGCCACTGTCAATCCAAGGGTGGCCTAGAGGGCCCTAGGGTCCCTGTCACACCTGGGACTGTGGCAGGCTTTGTTGGAAGGCCGGTGGAATGCAAGGAGGAATTCTCAAGCAAAGGTCAAGAGGAAAATGTCACTAGAAAAACAGTGACCTGAATTTCCCAAAGCACGTATGATCCCCAAACTGGCCCAACCCCAAAGGCCACCCTGGTCTCCTTTGTCATCCCAGGAGACACAGCCCTTGGAGCAGCTGTGTGTGCCAAGAAGGCTGTAGAAGCCCACGGCCTCCACCAGCAGCTCTTTAGTCTTCTGACTGAAAAGTCAGAGTCCTCTTACTAAACCCCTGTCCTGGGATCAGGGCTCTGTGGATGAATGTTAGTCTGGTTAAGGGAGGGAGAGAATGGTTGGGGAAGAGACAAGAAAAACCACTCTGCTCATCACTTAAACCGTGGGGCTACACGCCATGTTTAATAAGCTGAGGGCTGATAGCCTTCTGTTGTTAGCTCTGCAGCCTGCTTGGCTCAGAGACACGGGTCAATGAAGCATGCTACATGTGTTGGCTCCCATGCATGTAGATGGTTGTCACAGATCAGTATCGGGTCACCTCATTGGCAGCAGGGAAGAAGAGGAGGACTAGAGACCTTTTGATCTTGCACCTCCCTTTTCTCAAGAATGAAGCATTTCGCAGGATTCCCAGCCAGCGTGTCTTAACAGCACATCAGCCTGAAGCGGGTCCTGACCCATCTCCATGCCAACTCTGGGTAACAGGAAGGCTCAGTTCGCCTGAGCTTGGGCTGTGTTCCGTCAGGAAGAGATGTCACTGCAGGACCAGCAGCGTCTCTTTGTCATTTGCAGCCACATCTTCCTCCATCCCAAAGGTTGCTGTGGAGCTAGATGATGTCTCTGATGTCTCTGGCTGCCTCCCTAGCCTCAGAGGCACAGATGTGACTGTTCACACTGATAGTCACTCATTTGTTGAAAGCTGCCCCATGGACCACTGTTACATGTTACAGTATCACAGCTTCGCAAGGTTAAACAAATGCAACAGAAAATCTATTGAACAAATAGTCCGCAGCATGAATGAATGTAAAATCTTCAACTAGCACTCCACACCAGTTACTTCCTTACTGTTCTTCCTTGACTTTGTCTCCATGTGAGCCTAGAGTTCCCATGGCCCATGTTGAAGGAAATCTCTGTCTTTACCCTGGTGGGCGGGGTCTCAGGTGCTGAGCACTGTGTGGAGCTTGGCTCCTGCATTCAAGCTTAGGATGGGGCACACAGGTAATGGGACTTGGAAAGCTTCACAAAGCAGGTCTGTGGCAGTGTTCACGGGGGACATTGGCAGGTGGATGTGGGACCAGCAAGTTCTACGACTGTCTGGGAATCTCCCTAGTCTGCGTTGGATCTCCCTGGTGTATACCTGATTCTTAGCGGAGATCCAAGTTAGGGCAAATCAGAATCTAATGTTCTAATCCCAGGATGTGAGATTTTAGCGTCTGAGACTTAGTGGGGGGAAAAAATGAGGGGAAGGGGGAAGAAAAGGATAGCGTGTTCCGACAGCCCTCGGGGAGTTCTGCAGTGGGACTTGGCTAGTTTAAAAAAGGTCTAGTGGGTTTATCTATTTGATTCGATTTTTAAAGCATGAGTGTGTGCATGTGTGCGTGTGTATGTGTGTGTGTGTGTGTGTGTGTGGTATGTATGCGTGCAGGGATGTGCATGCCACTGCAGGAATGTGGAAGACAGGAGACGACTTTGTAGAATCGGTTCTTTCTACCATACAGGTTCTGAAGTCAGCTTCTCAGCCTTGAGTGGCATCTCACTGAGCCCCTGGTGTGCATATTTGAATAACAAATTCTGCGATAGCTCAGACAGGACAGACGCTCTACAGCACTGAATAAATTCACTAGAGGACCAAGGCAAAGAGACCATATCCCTGAGATAGAAAACTCAGACAGGAAAATCTGTAGAGAAATGCTCAGCAGCTACTTGTTAGTCAGAATATTTTAGTAGAAAGGGAACAGTTTAGAGTTAGAGATAGGACATAGCTGGTCTGAGATGAGAAAGGTGGAGGGATTTAACTCATGCGAATGAATTGCGAAGGAGCCCGGGTGGTTTGTTTCTCTTGCAGATCCCATGCCGAAAGGCTACGAGCAGTATTACGGCTTCACGCAATTTGCACTGGAGCTAAATGAGATGGATCCATTGTCACGGTCTTTATTACCACCCACCGACACTCGGTTTCGACCAGACCAAAGGTAAGGGTTTTTTCAAAGATCTTTCTCTCCAGAGACATTTAAAACAATCTACCAAAGGCAGTATTCACAATTGCATGGCTGCCCGGAGTCTGAGGTGGGTGCTGTTGTCAGGTATACAGAGGCGAAGTGGCGTCTTCAAACATCTGTCTCAGAGAGATTAGAACCTGGATGTCCATCCTTGTGTGGTGTGTCCTCCACACATCTGTAGGGCCCCATTTCTATTGAAATACCAGAAGAGAGGGGAGGATTATTTTGAAGAATTTCACTATGTGTAGTAGTAATAAGAAATTGACTGTTTATTTGATATAATCAAAGCACCCAGCTCTCCTGACCCCTCAAGTTGAAATGATTTTAGTGCATTGTGATCTAACTTCGGATTCTGGGCTTGCTATTAATCAGTTGTGTGATCTGTGGCAAGGCTTTTCCTCTTTCCCCACCTCAGTTTCCTACTCTGTAAGACAGAAAGAATAATCTCCCCTGGGCCTTCTGTAACCGAGACTCAAACTCTAAAGGTCACATGAAAGGAAAGATCACTATGTATGATTTAACTTTTTAAAAAAACCCTTAGATAGAAGTGAAGTGCATAACCAAATTCACAGATAGATGATCAACATGGATCTGCATTTACAATCTTACAGTATGGATTTGTGCAAAAAATCAGTAAGGTGTCACCTGTTAGGGAGAAAATAGACTTGGGGAAATGAACAGTCTGTGGTTAAGAGGCTCAGATATTCCTTAAACATGGAGAGAAATTCAGTTTCGCTCATAGTATTTTTAAATGCAAATTTTTAAAATCAGGTAATAATACATTCTTACCTTAAATTAGAAAAAAAAGCAAAGTGAAAGAAAACCAAACCTATCTGTGGCTGGTGACAATAAGCTATTGTAACATGAAGGGGCCTGCTTGTTGGGGTATCTGTCCTGCCCGGTACCCCACAGCTGGCAAGCCCCAAAGAAAATCACACAGAGATCTCCATAAGATTATAAACTGATTGACCCTTAGCTCAGGCTACTTATTAGCTCTTATAACTTATGTTAGCCCCTTATTTTTATCTATGTTAGGCACACGGCTCAGTATCTTTCTCAGCAGGGCAGCTTACATCTTGCCTCTCCAGTGGTCTGGGAAGAACTGCAGAGGGAGCTTCCTGCTTCCCAGAATACTCCCGTTTTCTTTGCTACACCTCTACTTCCTGTCTGGTTTTCCCGCCTATACTTCCTGCCTGGCCAATCAGCATTTATTTAAAATATGATTGACAGAATACAGACAATTCTCCTGCACCAAGCTATAATATAAATAAATGTATAAATTGCTTCCTTTTAAAGTGTAGTTTTATAATATATCAATGACAGACTTACTCTTTTGTCCACCAATCTTACGTCTAGAAGTCTCTTATACAGATATGCTTTCCTGTGTGTGAGTGGCGGTTGTCTAAAGTCATTCCCTGCAACATTAAATGTAGCACAAAAAATAGCAGGGACAACCCAATGTTTACAGGTAGAGTACGTTTGAAATAACGAAGGTACGTCCACAAGGCTGAATGCTATACAGCTATTGAAAATGAAGATGTCCAGGCACTGCTGCAAGAAGCTCTCTGAGATGTGTTGCTAAGCAAAAAGTAAAGCGCAGCAGAGCAGTTTTGCCACTAGTTATGCTCTTAAAATGGAGGGCAGAATATGAATATGTATTTATATTTGAAAAGTACATACCCAGGAAATAAACAGAGTGACGCTGCCTGTCATGGAAGAGTGGGGGAAGCAGAAGACTGACTCGGGTTCCTCTGGATAGAGTCTCTGAACTCTGAAAATATCACATGTTCAAAAAAGGTCATGCATCCCAGAGGATTGCATCATGGGTTGACAAAGGGACTGGGTGCAGGCGATCTTGAATAGCCAGCCCCAGGCATAGAAGTGGCTGGTGGTTGTTTTTCCAGTGACTGTTCCTTTTCCCTTTCCCCTCAATACCCAGGCTTCTAGAAGAAGGGAACATAGAGGAAGCTGAGGTACAGAAGCAGAGGATTGAGCAGCTGCAGAGGGAGAGACGGCGGGTCCTGGAGGAAAACAACTTGGAGCATCAGCCCCGGTTTTTCAGGTTTGTGCATAGCTGTGGTGGCAGGCTGAGAGGTCCTGCCTGCCCTTTCTGGATGCTGGTCCACTGCAGACAAATAGTGTCTGAATGGCCGTCACTGTCCTCAGACAGGACTGGGGCCTTCCTCATCGCCTGCCTTGCTTCTTCTTCACCAAGAGTTTCTCAGTCAATCCCTGTAGCAGAAGAAAGGGACATTGTCAGAAGTGGTCCTAACACCCAGCATCTGCCTCTGAGGCTGGTTGCTCGCGTGGCTAGGTTTTACATGATGACAGGCTAGCTGATGACCGCCCTACTGTAGAATTCAAAGTACCTACTCTGCTTAGACCAGCAGTCCCAATATGTTTATGCTTGAGTTTAAAAGATCTGGTTGATCATTACTTTTAAAATAGCTTTCTGGAGTTGGGCATGGGTAGCTTGTAATCATACTTGCAATCCCAGCATGAGGGAGGCTGAGGCAGGAAGATTGGCAGGAATGCAAGGCTAGCCCCGACTATAGTATGAAACCCTTTCTATAGATAGATGGACAGACAGACAGACAGACAGGCAGGCAGATAGCTAGATGATTTGTTGAAACTGTTTGTTTACAGCATACTTAAAATTGTAAAAGGGCTGTGGGTAATGGCAGCCCTTCACCCTCTCCTGTCCTTATTTTGAATGAGAGGAAACAGAGGCTCAGAGAATAGAGGGGGTTGAAGAAGGACCCGACGGAATCTTTCAGATGGGACCATGCCTTTCCTGAAAGCCTGGCCAGTGCTCTATATGACTTGGGGATATGTAGAGAATGCCTGCTCCTGGTGGGTCCACTCCTGACTGCAGCCAGTGGTTTGCTGATGTTTGGGGTAGGACTGGTTTTGTTTCTCAGTCTGGGCAACAGGCACAGGTTCCAGAAGGCAGGAGGGATGAATCCTAGCATCAGGAAAATGTACATATTTGGAAACATTGAAAGAGCCATCCTGGTGGTACAGACATGTAATCCTAACACTCCGGAGACTGAGACAAGAGGATTGCAAGTTCAAGGCCAGCCTAGGCAAGTTAAGAATGACAACAGAATCAAAGTCCTGCCTCTAAAAAGAATTAAAATAGCACCCAGAACATATGTTTTATTCCTAATGGAGCTTAACCGCCCTTAGTAGGGCAATACTAAGATGAACTGTCATCCATCCCCGCAATAGAATATCATTCAGCTGTTTAAAAAGGAGTGAGAAACCCTATTGCTGAGGTCACCAAGCTTCCCTATAAAAAGCAGGTGGTAGATGTTGCTGGCTTGGCAGGTGATAAGGCCTCGGCAATTAGCCCAGCTGTTCATTATGAAATTAGTCATAGATAATACTTAAAGAAATGTGTAGGGTTGTGTTCTAATAAAACAGTTTTTCAAAGATCTACAGGGCTGCGCATGTGGCTTGGTGGTAGAATAGTTAGATAGCATTCATGAGGCCCTAGACTTTATCCCTAGCATTGCAAAACACACACGCACATGGAGGCTGAATTGGGTCCTTGGACCTTAGTTTGCTGCGTTACTAAGGAACAGTGAAGATAGACACCATACATCTTACTGACTGCATGAATGGAAAATGATCCCCAGCATAGACTGTGGTATTCAATGCCCAAGGGGCAGAGCACTGCCCAATACTGTGAAAGGGAGAGAGGGCAGCGTGTGTGGACGCGAGCTTTCTCTGGCAGAATAAAGCAGGCAACACTGCCTCGGGAACAGACGTGAGGCTGGGAGGTAAGGTGAACCCAAAATGTAGACCCTGAATCCTCTTGTGCCTTTGGAATTTCCATCTAATGGCAGGTCATCTTTGCCCAGAGGCGTGCAACCGAAAGTTCTCAGTCCAAACTGTTGTGGAATCCAGTTCCAGTTCCTTTTTGGTGGGCTCTATTTGACTTGATGCTAGCTCAGGTTGACTTTGAGGAACCTAGTTGACTATGTAGTATTTAGTCATTCCCAGTGTGGTGGCTATTAGTCCAGCCCTGGACACACTAAGAGAGACAGACAGAGGGAGAGAGAGAGACAGGGAATCGGAGAGAGACAGAGACCTTCCCAGCCTCCAGGTTTAAGTACTAAATGTCAGAAACAAATAAAAAATGGCTGCCAGCCTGCTGATACCAATCTAATACCCAAACAACAGAAACAGGGGATACATCTGGAATGGTAGTGGGAAAGCGGAGCCGGGTAGGGGTGGGGGTGGGGAGGAAGGACTTGATAGCAGAGTTTGCCAGAAACCCAGAAACTGTCTCATCTCTCACAGGAAGTCCAGTGACGACACTTGGGTGAGCAACGGGACCTACCTGGAACTGAGGAGAGACCTTGGCTTTTCCAAACTGGACCATCCCGTCTTGTGGTGAAAAAGTAAAGAAGAAAGATATGTTCATGTACTTCCCCACGTTTGCTTCCGGAAGCAGCACACACCTGTGTCTGTACGTTTAAAAGATAGCGTCTAGAACGATCCCTTGTGCTTAGCCCAGCAATGTAAGCACTGAAGTGTGTGTTTTCTTCAGTGAGTTTCTCGACAATTTCAAGTATTATCATGATTGTTTATATGAATGTAGAACACCTTGGTATTTCCTTTTATATATAAACTATTTAATAAAAATGAAAGATTGAATGTTAATGTGTGGGTTTAAGAAAAAAAAAAGAAGCTTTAACACTAATTTCCCAAAGGTGAGGGCGGACAGATCAAATTTATGCCTTATAAAAATCACACCGGAGAAAACAACCCTCTCCCAGGTGCGTTAAGAATTAAGAACACCCAGGGTTGCTCACCCATGCGCTAGCTCTCCAGGTTTAACTGGGAGCTGGGATATCTTTTTAACCCCAGACAGCTCTTGAATTGCTCATACAGAACAATTCTGCTGGTGCTGAAGTACCAAGAATATTTTCATTTGCATTTTAGTGGTTAAGGCATCTGTGTAAGGTTAGCGGGATGCATATTTTTTATGTAAGTCGGGCATGGCCCATCTGGAAGAAGAGGCCTTCTCTCCCTGTAGTTCTGTTGCCTTATATGCTCCCCCTCTTAGAGAAGTTGTACTAATCAGAGAGATCTCTAATAATTCAGTGTCCTGATGGCATCCTAGGGAGGCAGAAGGCATCTCGTTTTTTTTTCTCAGTGAGAGCCGAATCCTTAATGATTTAAGAAATCCACTGTTAGCTTCCTGCCCCACCCCGGGCTCGCAAGCCCCCTTTTTGACCCTGATTGAGGATGGAATGTCTCCCCTTTAGTACAAGAGCTACAGTAAGCAGCCTGTGACCTTCTCAGGCTTTAGTGAAGTCGCTGGTGATCTGAAATAACCCTGTGGCGTTGGTATTTTCTACCTCGCGCGAAGCTCTGTACTTCTCAGCCGTGTGTCGGCAGTTTGACCATCTGCCTTAGAGACAAACACCAAGCACTGCTGTTCTGTGTCGTCCCGAGGAAGCTGCACAGGTTTTACCTCTTCCTTCTACTCTCTTCTTGTTGAAACACTCTGAGGTCCCAGATCGGAGCTTCCAAAAGGAAACCGTTGTTCTTGTGTCTTATGTCACATTATGGTAGCAGATTGTATGCAGTAGCTGAATTGTGTTAGCAAAACCATTTCAATTTCTGCCCAGAGCACGTTAATACCAAAGCCTGACCGTTTAGCCTTTGACTTGAACGTCTGTAATGATTCTATGAAACATTGTATGGAATGACAGGGTAAAGAACTCTCTATAGAAAGCATTTGAGGGGGCCTGTGGGATTGACTCGGCATGTAAAGGCTCTTACTGTACAAGCCTGGCAGCCTTAGTGTGATCCCCAGGACCCACAGAAGAGGTGGAGGAGAGACCCGACCCCGCGGAGTTGTCGTATGTCACAGCAGGTAGCCGACTGGACAGCCCCGAGTTTTCACAATGGAGTGTTGAAGGTGAATTGGCAGTCTTTGGAGTCTACAAGTGACTGTCATTTTAAACAACTCATTAAATATTGGTTCACTTGTTCCATTTTATGGAGGCATCAAGACGAACACAGTGGGAATCTCATTTCCATTTCTAAGCAGCTGGATGGCGCAGCTCAGTTCTTTAGTTCCCGTTTCTTCTTCCTTTCCTTTTAAAGCGTTATCCACATTCTGCTCACAGACAGGAGGAAGCAGGCTGTAGGTTTAATGGCTCTCAGTGGGGAAACAAATCTGCTGTACACAATGTGAGGATAAATGCGGAGTTTTAGCAATATTGACTGTTAAATAGGCCTGCTCCGGAGGCTGGCTCAAAGGAGACAGAAAAACAACAGAAACAAAACCCCTAAAAATATACCACTGGAATGGGTGCCGCCTTGTGGAACCAGTTGTTTGCTAATTCTTAAATTTCCTCGTGGTGTGATTTCTGTTGATTTCAAGCTTTATTTTAGGATCCCACCAACAGCTGACCCAAATGTCACCTTGGTAGTCACCTTATTTGAACCAGGGACTGGAATGAACAAAACATGTTCCGAAGCCATGAGTAAATTCTCCCCGTCACTGCCAGTATCTGGATGAGAGTTTTTTTTTAAATGCACTTGATCTGGAGATGCAACCTTGGTATTTGAATCTTAAAACTCCCTGCAGGTGGGAAGAGGCTGCTGCGTTCCTTCTGTCCTGTCTAACACCCCCTTCCAACCAAGTTTGTCTGTGTAGGACTTGTTTATTTTATAAGGAAAGCAGAACTATGGTATTGCTTTAGAAGAATTAAGGTAAAGGTTAAGTTACTGGACTCTGACTTTCTCAAATACATACACCAAATCCCTGCTCTATTTGATATGATGCTTTCAGCCTCTCTCATTCTAGCTATGCTATTTCAAGATGATGCTAGGTTACAGATGTTCTCCTGTCTATAGAACCTGTAGTGTTCCTCTTTTCAGTACTCGTGACCCCAAACTGCAACACATAGTTAAGGAATGAGCATCTTCAGTATAACAAAGGAGAAGGGCAGTTTCCTCTACAGGCCCTTGGGTACCTGAAGGATGATATTTCCTCTCCTCAGAAGTGGTAATAAAAGCCTCCATGCAACTTCTTCCTGCAGTTCACACTCTGATGCTAGGATGCTTCTGGTACTAACTAAACATGTGGTTCCCCTCCCAGACACGAGGGGGAATCTGGTACTAATTAAATAGATGCAGTGCACCTCTGAAACACTAGGGGGAGTCTGGTACTAAACAGATATAGTGTACCTCAGACTCGGGAGGGTTCTGTATTAAATAGGTGGAGTTTCACCTTAGGATATCAATACAGTTACCTACTCAGTAGCAAGAATGCCTTAGCAGTTCCCCAGTCTTCCAGTGCATCTGGGGGGCTCCCTAAGGGAAAACGACAAAAACTGAGATTTTTAATGTTTACTTCATTTAGGCTGATGTTTTCCTCATACCCTATTTTTAACTACTTCCAGTCAATTTTTTGCTCAGCCTTCTAGCACCGTGCTTCATCTGCACTTGCCAGATTTATGATGAGATGTTTTATTCTACCCTTAAAGATGGCAAGCCAAGAATAGAGGCAAGGGTTACTGTGCTTTTTAATGTAGGCTTACTGTGTACTCCAAGCTCTCTGACGGGCCGTAGCTATTACAGACTGTCCTCAGAGCCTCTCAGCTACCTAAGAGCCATAAGTTGCTCTCGTGGTCTTAGGAATAACAGCTACAGTGTGTGGGCAGAATTTATCTGAATGCCTTTAGTTTTGATATCAGCATCAGCATAAATCTATTTTTGCTAGCAGATTAAAGCTATTTTCGCGCGCTCACTTTTCTGTGTTGTGTCGACCTGTGACTTGGAATTAATCTTTCTGTCGAAAGCCTACATATCGAACAATATCTGCAAATCATGATGGTCTACTACAGGGCAAGCTGGTTTTAAGGACTGGTTTTAGGGGGGATGTGGTTGTCAGAAATGACTACTCATTTATTTCATTCATGATTATTATTATTTTTTTAATCTTCCTCTGTTACCCCCAGAGGGTATGCTTTTGGGGGAAAAATTGATACTTGTAAATCTTCTATGTGACCTTTTGTAAAGTCTGCGTCCTACCTCGCTGCCCATCCCTGTCTGACTTCCCAGAAGCCCCTTTCCATTTGTTGTCTCTCCACCCCGTGTGGCTCATTGACTAAGAATAAAGACTATAGTAACGACCACCTTTGCCTTTGTTTTTCCTGACTGGGTAGTTGTGGTTGATAAAGAGACAACTTCCTAGAGTCTGTCTGGAGGAAAAAGCCTGCTCACCTAAAGGGACAGATCCTGAGGTATCGAACTTGGGAAACTCTGGGTTGCCGTAGCCTTCTACCCTGCATTTCCCAGTCACCCTCAGCTATGCGAATAGGCACTAGGAGCTCCAGTGAGGTCAACTCTAGTCCAAGGATCCCTGCTCTGCTCACTTCCTGTGCTATAGAAATACCGTTTCCTGTGTGTTATAATGTGAAGCGGAAGTGTGCTGATTACGCCTACATGGCCACACCAACAGTGGCCGGTCCCTCTCCCCTATCCAAGTTACATTCCTGAACATTCACAGAACTTCACTTGGTGCAAGTCAGTGTGTCCCAGCATCCTTCAGAATGACATGGTGCCAAAGGAAATCTGAAGAGCATCCTCAACTTTTTAAAAATACTGGCCACCGTTTGCACATGTTGGTCTTAAAGCATCAGGATGCCAGCAACTGCAGAGACATTTTGGTCATGCTCTCAGACCCGTAAATTCCTAGTGTTGGTGTTGTCGCTGTCATCAGCGATGGGCAAGGCAGGGCGATATCCCCAGCTGGCATCCTTCCCACACCCTTCATAGCAGAAGTCCTGCCAGGGAACACAGACCAACCCAAGGAGTCAGATAATTAAATGAAGGGTCCGGAGCAAGTGTGAAGCCTGGAAGATTAACCAGGCAGGAAGCCATCACTGCCTCAGTGGCAGCTCGAGCTCCCAAAATGGAGACACCATCAGAAGCGTGGTTTTGAGGTACCTGTGCTTTGCCAGACAACCCAGAGCAGGCTGGACGAGCTATCCCTGCCTGGGTCTCAAATCAACCACTCGTGTGATGGTTTTAACACGCTGAGGGGAGGTTCCTTAACTGCCACCATTTAAACTCATAGACTGGAAAGATGCATTAATTAAGATTTTTAAATTTGATTAAAGCTCTGGTAGTAAATTACACACATGTATATGCATGCATGTGTACACACACACAAAATCTCCCGCTGGGACTGGGACACAATTGCCTAAAATTGTCATGCTGCTAGGGACAAGTTTCTTTTCATAGATTCTATGTTTTATAGTATCTTTGAAATTGGAAGTGGGGACTAGGTGACCTTAGATTTGACCGCGATGGAGCGTCTCTTTGTTGCCCAGGATGAACACTACAGGTGTGTGCTTCCATGCCCAGCTATTTCTCGGGTACTTTTCAAAAGGGCTGCACAGAAGGAGGCCCCAGCTGCTGCTGTGATCAAGTCTTGGGGACCCATTTATAGAGCAAGGAATGGCTCTAAACCCAGACATTTCTCCACCTTCAGAAGTCACCCATCTGGTGGCAAGCTGGTAGGTAAGTCAGTCGTCACCATGGACTCAGAAGGCGCTGTCGCTCACGTTGTCACCATGGATACAAGTCTCTGGGCATATCCATGAAGGAAAGCCTTGTCAAGTTAATTGAGGTAGGGGGAGCCACCTAGTTGTTGGCCGGGGTCTTGGACTGAGTGAAGGGGACACGGAACTGAGCAGGAACATTTCATCTCCCTAACTGTGACTGCAAGGTGACTAGCCCTTGCTCCATGAATGTGCCCACCATGGTGAGCTGTACGCTCAAACTATGAGTCGAAGCTTTATGGGAGTAGGGTCTTGTCTTCTTCTACACAGGTCCCAGGGCTTGAACTCCTTCAGGCTCAGCAGCAAGTATCTTTTTACCTGCTAAGCCATCTTGTCAGTCCCTCCTGCATGTCTTGCTATGTTCTTATTTATTAGGACAGTTTTCCCCACGGGTGTTTTTTTTTTCAGCCTAAAGAACACCTGTGGTACCATTGACATGCACAATCACATACACCATGTACTGCTGGTAGCAAAACACGATGTGGGACCTGAGATAAAAGTATCACAGGGAATGATACTTGCCTTACTGCCGAGCCTCCAGAGACTGGAACATATTTATCGATAATAGATTAGTCTGTGTTCCACTCTCTTTGCTCAATAAGGTTACATTTTCCTCCTCAAGGCCACACTAATCCTCTCTACAGCACCTCTCTAACCGTATCTGCCATTGGGTGCTTTCTAACAACTTCCTTACCCAACTCCCTTGCTGTCTCCACCTCTACTGGCTTGCCGCTTCCACTCCTTAGAGTTTCCAATGCCTTGTTTCCCTCAGCACGTCTTTCAATCAAATATACAAATTGCTCATTTTCACTCTTTCAGGAAAAGCTCACATTCAAATGGGCCAGGATGCTATGCAGGTCATCTCTGTAGCTGCTGGGAACACTGCAGACTGGGTCATCGGGCCAGTTCTGGCCCAGCAGTTGAGGCGTAGGTGGAAGGTCACAATGTGACAAACCAACAAAGAAAGTAGGCAAACCTTGGGGCCCAACACAAAAAGCGAACAACTTGTCATGCCTTGCCCTGGTCTAACATTGAGTCCTGCTAACCAAAAGCCTCTGCAGTCTTGGATAACTGGTCAACCTATACCATCAAGCTGCCTTATTTGCTCTTAAAACTCTAGGGAGAGAGACTGGGTTCAGGGCTGTAGAGAAAAACCAAACAAGGCTTCCATCCTAACTGAGCCATTGCATTTGGGATTCTTTGTTTACGTCATCATGCCCTGTTGTATCAGTACAAATGCCTTTGGTCCAGAGAGCCTGCTGATGACATTTTCCTTGTTGTAACCTGAGCTCAGTCAGCTGCTTCAGCCTGTTGTCTGGTCTATCATGTCTAAAATCCAATCTCTCACTCTTGGCACAGCCTTTATTTTTATACACACACATACACACACACACACACACACACACACACACACGTGTCGGGGGGTATGGGATGTATCTGTGTATCTGTGTGGCACATGTGTGTGGCACCCATGAGATCAGAAAGGGTATCTCATCCCCTGGAGCTGGAGTTATAGGCAGTTGTGAGCGGCCTAACAAAGATGCTGGGAGCTGATTTTGGGTCCTCTGGAAGAGCAGCAAGCATCCTTAACTACGAGCCATCTCGCTAGCCACACAATCTTTTAGAAAGAGCCTTTGAGGAGAACAGATGGGAAAAAGCTGGAGAAGATTCAAGACATAGCAGATTTTTCTTCTTTTAAAAAACCCCATAATATATGTTCTTAAGAGAAAACAGAGTTTGACTTCTGAAATTTTTTTGAATCAAAATAAGTGGGCACCATCAGTTCCCTAGGACCTGTATCCAAGTCAGAAAGCACACTTAGGCTTAGATGGATGTTAGGGTGTGTGTCAAGGCGGCTCTGGGAAGCCATGTTCAGTTACTTACCAGGAAGGGTCTTGCTGAGTAGTGAATGAGCTAAGAGGCTAGCCCCAGAGGAGCCAGTAAGCCCCCAGAAACCTGGCTGTTCCAAGTGAGCCCTCATCTAAAACAACTGGCTGTCTTAAAAAAATCAACCAAACAACAAAACCAGAGTTGTCATGCATGTAGTACACATACACATATGTACGCAAAACACTCAAACACATAAAGTGGAAATAAGTAAATCTTCAGGAAAACAACAACCAGAGTTCCTAAGAGTCTCTTTGGAACTTCCCACCTCTGCTCTCTGAAGTGTCCCTCGAAGGCTGACACTTGATTTGTGTGCTTTCGGGTTTGGATAATGTACAAGATCAGGCTTTGAATTGTCATAGGCAGTCAAGGAAAAGGACCACCTATGTGGGCAATTGCAGACTGTCCATGGCTTTGCCTTTTTGTTTGGTTGATTAAAATACTTAGCAAGCTTCACACTTATCTAAGAGTTTAACCTGGCAAAGAAACCAGCATGTTATATTCCAGGAAAGCCCCAGAACCCACACACCATTTATAGTGGATGTTCTTATTCGGTTACCAAGTCGTGAAGATGCATAGTTAGTATTGTTTTTGCCTTCTAAATGTCCCCGCAAAGACCTGTCTGTTAGAGACTTGGTCCCCAGCCTATAACACCAACAGGTCTTGCCCTTTGCCCCTGTTCCCTCCCCGCCCCTTGCTAAAAACCATGGATTACATCCCTAAAGCTAGTCAGTCCCCAAGGTCCCTTCCCTTACTTGGCCACTGACTTAATCCTGAGAAAAAACACCAAGGTCCAACAGTTAAAATTCATTATTTGGCTAATCTGTCTGATCAGGATTTACCAACCCACCCCAGCACAGGCTCCCCGCTTTCCCTTACCAACCTATTCCTACAAAAACATCCTCCCTGTCTCTCTTGCTTGCTTACTGCTACTGCTGCATTTGCAGACACCCCCACCCCCAACTTGCCCCTCTGGGGTAACAAATCACCTTTGTGCTGAGAATTCGGTGTCTGGGTATGTCCTGTGCCAACCTGGGTGGCATCCTCCCCTATAAAGTGAGGCCTGTAGAAGGAGTTGAGTCACGGGCCTAAGCCCTAGAAGGTGATATTGAGACACCATGCCCTCCGGCCCCTCTCCTGCCTGCTGCCTGGCTCTCAGGGGGTGACTGCTTTCCCTGTTCTGTACCTCTCATTCACCATGATCTTCAGCTTTACCACAGGCCCGAGAGCGATGAGTTCAAGTGACTGTGGACTGAAACGGAAATCACAAGTCAGCATCTTGTTCCTTATCACCTGTGCACCTCAGACTCTTGTCACCGCCACAGGAGGGGTAAATAACAAAATCACCTTTTCAAATAATCAAAGTTTCAATAATTATAAAATAGTATAGTGATACAATAAAATGGTTACATTCACTGGTTTTAGAAATAAGAATTTTTACTGGGCATAGTGATAGTGGTACATACCTCCACAGGCTGAGGTTGGAGGATTGCCGTGAATTTTGAGGCCAGCTTTAGCTACATATATAGTGATTAGAAGGTCAGCCTCAGGTCCATAGCAGAGCTTGTCTCACAAAGCAAAAACGCAGGAAAGGAGAGGGAAAATTACATGCCTGTCATCCCAGGAACAAGAGGTGGGGAGACCAGTAAAGTCCAATGCCAACTGGGTGTGTTGGTTGC